GTGCGTGTGCGCGTGAGTGCGTGGGCGTGGGCGCGCGCATGTGTGTGTGTGTGTGTGTGTGTGTGTGTACATGCACGCAAATGGGAGATTTGAACTTGGAAGTGGACAGAGGTGGAAAATGTTAAGAAACAAGTGGAAACAACAGTCTTGAGACTAGTTAGGGAAACCCATGAGGCCAGTACGTCTTGTTAACAGCATGTAGTTGAATCCCAGTTTCCCCTTAACTAATTACAAGTCCCAATAACTTCAGACCAATGCTGAGGTGCCCCAAGCAGGCTTTGAGCCTGTCTGTCTCAACTTGAATCCTGGCTCCAGCACATTCTGGACAAGGTGCTAACCTTTGCACCTCAGTTTCTTCCCACCCTGAATTGTCCTGAGGACTATGCATGTAAACATAAAAGGGTACAGACTCCAGGACCAGGCAGGAGCCACGGGGGAAGTCTTTGGAGGGGTCTGTTCATCTTAAATGTCTGGCAAGTTTACTTAGAATTCAGGGCCCAATCTTGAAGGCAGAAGTCTGCACTTTGAACAAAACATTCTATAGTTCTTGTGTGTAGACCTTAAGAACCACTACTCTGAAGGAAAATTTTTGTTTTTGTTTGTTTCTTTTGTTTTGGGCTTGGGGGGTGGGGCATAGGGTTTTGGGGGTTTTTGTTTGTTTGTTTATTCTTGTATTCCAAGGCAGAGTAGAACTCAGAGATTCTCCTGCCTCTGTTTCTCAAGTGCTGGAATTAAAGGCGTGTGCCACCACCGCCAAACGGAACAGTAATTTTCTTTTAAAAGTCTTACTCTTTACACTAGAAATCAAAGTAAATTTTACAATTCTTCCTAACATGCCCATTTTTGTTTTAATGTACACACAAAAAAAGCTATATCAAGCTGGGCGTGGTGGCACATGCCTTTATCCCAGCACTTGTGAGAAGAAACAGGTGCATCTGTGAGAGTCTGAGGATAACCCGGTCTACAGAGGGAGTTCCAGGACTGGCTCCTAGATGAGAAAGCCTGTCTTAAAAAACCAAAAAGAAAAAAAGCTACACCAAGTAATAATGTGTATCATTTGCTACTGGATAAAATGATGCTACTAGGAGGAAGATTAAATATATCCTGGAATGAGGCTGCTTTCTTGAATATTTTTGCTTGAGACCTTAAACTCCTCGAGGCAAAGAGGGGCTTGAATTCCTGATTCTCCTGCCCCCCCCATTCTGGGCTTGCCACTGTGAACTCACCTGGCTCCCTGGCACACTTCCGTATTTCCCAGTTGCCATGCTCTAGCTCCATTGTCAGCCTGATGGCTATTACCATGGAAAGACCACTTCTGGGAATGTCTGTGTGTGAGGGGGCTAGAGTCACCTTTATTGTGGGGAGCCCCTCCCATGGGCTGAGGCCCCGACTAAATAAAACCAATGTGTTGAGCACCGGCCTTCCCCCTTCCTGCTTCTTCACTGTGGATGCAGAGGCCACGCCCCCCCAGTGCCACACCTTCCCCGTGACGGTGAACTGTACCTTCAAACTGGGAGCCAAACGCCCTTCCTTCTTCCTTAGGTTGCTTCTGTCAGGAATTTCATCACAGCAGCCAAAGTAACTACTAAAACCAGACTCTTGTGGTTTTCTGCGCCTTGCTGTACAGACTGATCTTGAACTTGTGGGCTCAAGAACTTCCCCTAAGACCCCCCCCCCAAGTCGCTGGGACTAAAGAGACGAACAACAGCCCCCAGTCAATCTTACTTCTACCGCATCGTTTGACAAGTCTTACCAGTGTAGCCAACACCGACACGGTCCTGCTCCACTTCTAACGCGCTTTCTGTACTGTAGGGCTTGTAGACACAACTCTCCATGCAGAACAGACCCTCCCACGGTCTGCAAGTTAGGCACAGAGCACCTACCTGTTGCTGTTGATCACTGTGCTGAGAAGTCTTGCAGTAGAGCTATGTGGGTGTTCCACTAAGCTTTCTGGTGCCCACTCTGGGAAGGCTGAGGAACAGCTGTGGTGGTGATGCCTTAGCAGCTTTCTTCCTCTTGCCCCATCTTAGATTTGGCAGAGGTGGTAGTCACCAGGTAGGCCAATTTTGCCATGCTCAAGAACGCATTCCCAGAGATAAGCCCACTACCTTAAAAGCCAATTAATAGTTTCCATTTGGACATAGTGGGACATATCTGCAGTTCCCATACATTGGAAGGCTGAAATGGGAGGAACAAGCCTGGGGTATCTAGTGAGATGATGTCTCACAAGACAGGACAAACCAAAACCAACAAAATTCCCACCACAACCAACAAGTGTCTGTATACTAAGTGTACTCAAAGTAGACATTATAGCATAATCCATGCCCACGCCATCTTCATCAGTTACTAACTTATGCCCAAACTGATTTTGGTTTTGAGACAGAATCTCCCTTTACTGCCAAGGGTAACTCCAAATTCATGGTGCTCCGGCCTCTGCCTCTCAAGAGCTGGGCAGTAAAGGGAGATTCTGTCTCAACTAGTTGGCAGTTGTTAGGGTTATGCCAAAGCCAGGTGAAAGCACCTTTTGCAAACTGAGCTTGGGGCATGAGACCGAAGACAAGGCCCAGAACACTGGGGGCTGATAAGAGACACCCTGTTAAACTAGCATCCTAAAGGACCTTACCCTTGAAGGGACGAGAATAAATGAAATACTTTTGTCTTCCCACCCCAGGAGGCTGTAAGGAATAATGCCTGGGCCGTGAGCAGATGTAAAAAAGTGTTACTGCTTTCACTCGCAAGTTGTAGTTTTCCCAAGTCCCCCAACGTGGCAGTCCAAGTATGCACAAAACATGCATATATCTCATATTAGACAGGTCAGGCTGGTGTAGCAATACCAGAAACATGATTAGCCTTAAATGCCCTTCAAGGAGCATGAACTGAGAGCCACGTATCTTATTTCCTCTCCTAATGAAGACTACTCAGCTGCAGTCCCCAAAGGTCCCCTCGTGCTGCGAGCAGGACTTGTTCCCACAGATAAAGGCTATTAATACTTTTCTCTTTAGAGGGTATCCTCAATTTCGCAGATTTCTTTTAAAAATGTGGACACTTTAGAATGTCATTCCTAACAGAACTTCACTACTTAGACCATTAACAGACATACCTAAAGACAAGGTGTTCAAAAGCAAGTGGGTTTCTTAGACATGTTTTCACATCTTGTTTATAAGACTATCTGATGCTCTGGGAAAGTGTATTCAGTACTACCTTACAATAGCTTATAAATAAGTGGCCACTCCACAGCCTGCAGCTGCCAGGAGACAGACCATTGATGGCTCACATGCACTGCTCCATCCCTTATGTAATGAATATGCTTATATTGTGAAACTTCAGTAATATTAAATAATTAGTGTTCCTTTAGCTATTAAAACTAAATAATTTCTAACAAATGGAAGAAGCTGAGGTTACCGTGAGTACTCTAGAACCTCAGCAAAGGCAAGGTACAAAGTCTGTGAAATCACATAAAGACTAAGATATGGACTTAGAAATGTTTCAACATTTCTTATAGAAAGACATTTAGTTAGACATTTTAAGCAGGAGAACTGTTAAGTTCACCCGCCATCTACCAAGCTATGTCCATTAGACCTCCACAGTCCCTTCTTCATAAGCAGCCTCTGAGCCCTCAGACAGAGGTAAGAGTTCTGTCTCCTAGCCTGTTCTACTTGTTGCAAATCACATGCATTAAATATTGAGATTCTAGACATGGATGTAATTAACAGGGCAGGCATAAGGTAATATGCAAATGAATTAACTAAGCATTATTATCGCAAGAAATAACCTATAGGTCTCACCTAGTTGCTACAACTAAGTTGTCAACCCAAAAGTGATCCTGTAAACACCTAAATTATGAACCCTAAATCCATTTTCTCACACATATTAAATACTAAAATCACTTAAGTATTTAAAATCAGAACAGGTAACATTATGGGTCCCCTTCTTAGTTCTCTTTAGTATTTGAAGATTATCAATCAAGAACTAATTTCTCCACTTTTATAAATCAAAGCAAAAATGGTAAGGCAGAGACTGCTCTTCATCCCCCTCACATTGATTTTCTTTCTTTCAAGACAATGCTCAAAACTTAGCTGAGTACAGGCCCATCTGAAATACCTAACTTCCCAGTCTTTCTTGTAGGCACATGTGATGACTTCACTATGTTCTGGCTAATAAGATGCAAACAGAAATGCCCTACAGCAGCTTCCAAAAAGGACCTTTCATAGTGCTGGCCCTGCCTACTGCTACTTTCCTGTCCTTCTACCAAAATGAAGTGGTTAGAGGCCTGGCTGTGACAGAAATCCAAAAGGACCTTAAATCCTCCAAAAAGCCTCATGGAAAAGAGCACCCATCAGTCCTAGATCTCTGTCTCTGACGTCTAACAGCAAGAGAGAAATGAGCCACTGTGTTCTGCCCATAGTACTTGGTGCCCCCTAAATACCGGCTTTCTTTGGATAAAGGACAAAGGCAACTTCGTAAATGGGAGATTTTTATACATGCTAACCAGCCACCCCTACCATCTTGTTTGAGACAGGGTGTCACCACAACTCTGTGTGTTCTGGAAAGAGCTGTGCAGACAGGCTAACCTTGAACTCATGGAGATCGTCAGCCAAATATATGGGTGAGACCATAAGACCCCTGTGGGTAGAAGCGGTCTTGCACTGTATCTTCAGTAACAAGTGCTCAATAAATATTCATTCAGTAAATATCTTAACATCTTTGATAATTGACAAATTATTCTGCTTTTTTGAGCTGAATAAAGCTGATGTTAGAGTATTATCTGTGTTCCTAACAGGCATACATAATAACTCCTAATCTTGATGTCAATCAGATGCAGGTTGTGAAGAGAGAAGGCTGAGCTGCTTCTCTGGGCCAAACGGGAACCCACTTACAAAAGCAACACAAGCAGGCACACTTGTATAGAAATGGAAACTTTATGACACATGCAAAAATACTCTTTAATACTTAAGTCACTGAAGCTACCACATCAAACGAAGGATTTCCTCACACTGGACTGTGACTAAAGCATTTTATTAAATTAAGTGTGTAATTTGCAAATGTTTCGTAAGAAATTTTAAAAGCAAAGTTATAAACATTTTCAATAAAAAAGTATAGAGTTGACAGCAAAAATCACATTTTTATAGTACAAATAAAACAGTTGCTTCTAATATACTGTCTGAGCAGCTTATAATCTATTCTTCAACTGCTAGCTGCAATGTGGCACATTAATGAGACATCTGGGGTAAACTCAACAATAAAAACAGGTTCATCACGAAGTCAACTGCTTGACCGTGAAGAACACAATGAAGGAACTTCATCAACACCAAACTGAGGTCATGAGGTGTTAGGACACAGATGTTCTAGCCTTGCTTCTCTATTCCCTTCTGTAAAGAGGCATCAAGTAATACTGTAAACTTAAATTACACCTTAAAAATAAGCACCATTAACATACATTCTACATCAACTTACTTTTCCTTATAAATGGCACTTGGTTTTGGCCACACAGACATTTAAATCTGTTTTCTTTACAAGTAATTAAGTATAAGAAACATTTAGCACAGCACAGAGCATTATCAAACATCACTTCATTGCACAATGGAAAAGCACTCAGAAAAAACAGCACACATTATTTTTGTCCATTTCATACATTTTCTTGAGAGCAGTTAAAACATTGTCAGAGCAATTTCTTAAGTTTCAAAAGTCTCCAATTGCCAGCTCAGAAATAACTTTGTCATTACACATGTCCTTCTAAAGCGAATACTTCAATTTAAAGAGAAAAAGACCAAAGCAATGGACAGAATCCACCCAGAGGAACTGGAAGCTTTTCTTTTCTATATATGTTAGAATACAAATGATTTCAGCCCGAGTTTCCACTCTGTATTATGGATGATACTGAAAAACAACTAATAAACAGAAGAAAACCTCAACTCGTAAGTAACAGCAACATATAAACAGCTAATGAATGTCTGAAACACGCTCAAGTTGCCTCACAGGAACCAGGAAAGGAACTGCAAACGGTCATGAGAGCTCTGGCCCCGTGCTCTCACTGTGGAGTCCCTGTCAGTTCTTTCTTCACTGAGTTGGTACCAATGACAAGACTGTTAGATGTGTATAACTGCTACTGAGATCTTCCTTTTTTTTTTTTTTTTTTTAAGAAATGCTACACTTTTAAAATACTAGGTTTACAGAGTTCTAACCTGGGTCATTTCTAAGCCATCTTTACCTCTGATATACAAAATTTAGAAGTGGGCAGAAGAAAACTGTCTATCTGATGATCCCCAAAGTCTCTCTACCTCTGGCTGGGACATGCGGTTTAGAGATTGGCAAAAAAAGATCAGAGGGTGTTCTTTCATAATTGTACCTGCTTAAACAATACCAGACAGGAGGTGGAGAGGAATCTGGGAACTATAAACATATAGAATGTTCAAACTCTGTATATTTATAGATAGTAATTGAGGAATATGAAGCCAAACATGGCAAAGCACACCTATTATCTCAGCGTTAAAGATTATAAGGCAGAATGATTTTGAGTTTGTGGCCGACTTCAAGGTCTGTACTAGGTTACTATGAGACTTCTCAGACTCAGGCCATGCACAGCATCAGAACAGCTGTTTTCCCTTGGCCTCCAACCACAACGAGTCACACTTGTACTTCTTCTCATTGCTCCCTTATTAATTATAATCACAGTAATATAGTAAGTCTATCTGGAGTACTCAAATGTGACTTTTTTTAAAAGGGTGAAAAAATATAAAACACAGAAAATGAGTATGCAGCTGCACACACTCCAATTATTCCAGGTTTAAAACTGTATTAACTTGAGAACAGAAATAAGTTTACTTCATTAACTACTAATTATGGTTTTTGCACTAACTTGTAAAAGGGAATTCTTATATATTTCACTTCTGAGCATTACCAAAAAGTGTGATACACTACTGCAATTTTTAAAACAAATTATTACAAGTCTAAAAATATAAATACTTGAATATCAGTAATCATTAACCATTTGTAGGTAATAAACACAGATTTTTGTTTTTATGGAGATAAAATTCAATGGTAAGGCTCATCTTTTAAAAGCATGATTCACAAGATGTAAGAACGTGTGTTGAGTTTTATTCCCATTACCATGTCTGCTCTTTGGGAGCTCATTCTGTCAGGGCAATGCCACATTCCTGATGAAGGTGATTTTGTAAGCTAAACAAAAAGCAACATAATTGTTTCCAAACACTGTATATGTTGAAAATACTCTGTATATCCAAAGTTAAATTTATTTTAACTATTGTCTCATAGAAAAATTACACTTCACCATACAAGTCTGTATAAAGGAAACGAGAATTTACATACTAACAGGACACTAGCCCAACAGAAGTCAATGAGACTTTTCTTTCAAAAAGCTGGCTCCTTTTCAAAATAAAGGTAAAAAATCTTCCTAATTACAAGAATTTCTTTACAGTTATACCAAAAAATGTTTTCACACTTAAGTCAATAGGGTTTTTATTTAGAATAGCTTAGAAATGATGTCTCAAGTATAAACCAGCCACTTAGCATTGTGTGGAGCTGCTCACAGACAGCTCCACAAGCAGTCCTGTAAGGATTTCTCCTTCTCTGAAATGTCTACTATCTGTAGAAGCTACGAGACTACAAGTCAGTCTCAGACTCGGCTTTCCTCCCAGATATGCACGGCTCAGAACAGCCCAGGAGGGGAGGGATCAAGATCAGAGTGACAGAGAAAAGGACAAGAGTGTGCGCACCCGTCGCACACTACAGCAAAGTCAAGCAACTCTTCGATGGGCTTCGAAAGCAGAAAGAATCCGGTGTTCTGCTGATCACCTTCCTCCTTTACTACTTTTAACACAGTCCTCCGAGAGCCAGGAATCCAGTTTCAAAGCATGCTGCCCCTGATAGACATCTACAGGACTTTTCTAAATGTGAAACGGTAAATACAAAGGCAGCAGTTTTGTTGTTTTGGAGTTTTTCCTAAAAACAAACTAGAGTACTTAAGACTTTTAAACTGCAGGTGATAATTTTTTTAAAAGAAATTTTTGTAATCAATAAAAAGTCTTTTTAATGTTTTAAAAGTAGTAGATTGGCATTTGATCCGGTAAACTTTCCTTGAATTTGGAAAAACATTTACATTTTTCTTGTTTTATATTCCTAATAAGACACATTTGACAGTAGAATTGACTGAATTACTGAAGATAAAACCAATTTCAGCCTATAAACCTTCTTGCCTCTAAGTCAAGGGCTTTTAAATTTTACTTTAGCATGACTTTCAAGCACCCAGGCTTAATTTCAGAGAACCTGTGAAAATGAGAAAAGAGTTATTTAAAATGTATATATTTCAAACTATTTAAGAAACATCTTGTAATCAATTTAAATGACTTATACTTCATATTTATTACTAACAATCCCAAAGCTGTGAACTATCCCTAGATTACTAGTTAATATAATTAAGGATTTTTCAAATATTCTCAATTTGACCTTCACATAGAAGAACCTGCTGTATGAAAGATAAGATGGTATATGATATTGTTTCTATGCATCAAGAATGCACCGAGGAGAAACCTCTGACCACGCAAGGCTTTTGACTGCCCTGTGTCGATTTCAACAGGCACACCAGCAGCTAAATGGCTCATTAACATGGCACAGCTCTATTCTAACAAACCCAACTGAAAAACTAACCCTAGGAGGCTTCTAACTTTCATCAAGTAATATCCCATTGCACGGCATACACAAAAGTCTTACACTAACTGAAACTGGAAGACTGGAAGGAAGGGGAGAGATTTAAGGACTGATATTCTCAGAGTTAGGGGTTAGGGGTAAGGGTTAGGGTTAGGGGTTACGGGTTAGGGGTTAGGGTTAGGGTCAGAAATAAAGCTTTATATCTGGAATTTTCCTTGTCAGTTTCTAGTACTGACTACAAAGGAAAAGGACACTTCAAGTATGTCAATAAAATCATTAATGTATTTAACTTATGAGAAAATATAATTCATTTAGAATTTCTGCAAAGTTTAAACACATTCAAATTGTAACTATTTCAGCCAAAGTCCCACAGATACACTCTGACTTTCAAAATGAGCAAGTCTTAATACTATCATCTATCTAGTTCTGTGGGATAGCACACTAAGAAGGAATGAAAAGAAATTTCATTTTTATAATTTTAAATTTGTGATAGAAAAATCTTAGTAGACGACTACTAATAAAACCCTATTTTCCTTTGAATTCCCATTTACCAGACAATATAAATCTAGCAAGAAAAGCTATCCTTTAACCATCAGTTTGTGGCTGAACTCAGAACTGGGCTGAAGTAGCTATCCTAATAGCTTGAACACACTGCAGTAGAAGTCTGCACTCACCTGAAGCTGTGGCTTGTGAGGTATTTAATGACAGCTGGCTTGATGCGAGCAACTCCTCCCTGGCTGTGGTTTCCTCTCCCCGTAATCACAGAAAGATAGGGCTTACCACCATTCTGCTTAAACTCTGTTAAAATGGGAATTGGAACAGTCAAAATCATTTCCTACATTCTCAACACACTCAAAATCATAGGAAATTACTAGTGATTTAAAACCTAAGGGAAATTTGTTTTTAAGGCACACAGACCTCAGAGCAATCGATCCATTGAAAGACTTAAGGACTAGGCCTAGCAGCACATGCTTGATAGCACAGGCTGAGGGACAAAGGATATGGACTTGGAGGGGTTACAGCCAGGGTTACAAGGTGAGTTTGAAGTCAGTACATAGTGAACTGCTGTACCACGAAAGAAAGCTATTAACAAGGCTCAAGTTAGGAGAGCAATTCCCATTCTCTACAACTCTTTCTGAGTAGTATGACAGCAATATTAATTACATCTAAAATTTACTATACACATGGACTCAGACACATTTGCTTTACACGACATATTTTTGTGAGTCAGAATCTCCCTATCAACCTTATTAATGAAATTTTTAAAAGTTCTGCCAGAAATTAACTGTGTGACCATGGGCAAATTAGTTGGTTTCTTGGTGCCTGTGTTTTCTTCACACTAGGAAAAGTAGATAATAACAGCCACTGCTTTGTAGATTATCTTCCAGGAGCTATTAGCAAATCTAATTTTAGCACAGATCTACTCTCATCCTTAAATTCTTCCCAGGAGAGATTTTTTTAAAAAATACTGAACAACACTGATCTCTGAGACCCCCTTCTCTCCCTCTCCCTCCTTTTTTGGTTTTTCGAGACAGGGTTTCTCTGTATTGTTTTGGAGGCTGTCCTGGAACTCACTCTGTAGACCAGGCTGGCCTCAAATTCAGAGATCCACCGGTCTCTGCCTCCTGAGTGCTGGGATTAAAGGCATGCAATGCCACTGCCCAGTGATACGGATCTCTTTAAAGAATGCAGTTGCTACTTCACATCTGACCTCGGGAAGGTAAATATATAAATTCTGAAATCAACAGTAGAAAAACTCTAATAGAATAACAACAACAAACCAAAAAGTCCTATTAATAATAAAGTAGTTAATGTAACAGGTTTGTTTCTCATTCATAAATAGCCTAAGTTTTTATCTTTAGTATAATATATATATATATATATATATATATATATATATATATATATATATATAAACATTTCACACTCTGTCCATTAAGTTACCTTAATGAAATAGAACCAAAATAATGTTTTCAAGTCTCATTATATACAGGGCAATACTTGGCTTGTACATTTATTTGTTTGTTTGTTTGTTTGTTTGTTTACTTACTGACTTGAGACAGGGTCTCACTATATTGCCCTGGCTGGCATGGAAATCACTACTGATACCAGGCTGTCTTGTAACTTACAGTGATCTATCTGCATGGCAACCATGCCCAACTACCTTGGAATTTTAGGACAGGAAGGTTATGAGTCCGAGGTTAGCCTGTCTTGAAAGCAGCTGACAGCTTCCGTTTTAGTTTTCTTGACGCCATTCTCATGCACCTTCCTTTTTGCCTCCTCAGAAGGCAAGTCAGTCAGCCATCACCTCTCTAATGGTTCACTGCTGCGCTGAAAATGCTCCTCAGCTGATTCGCACCTCCAAACACAGCAGTGCAAAGGAGACTTGTCTTATTAATGCACATATTCACTGCCTAAAATTACAGACTGCTCCCAATGTTTATCACCTTTGAAACAACTGCCTAACTTAGTCTTAAGCACATCCTAGATTGCTAACAATTTTAAACTACAAATGCTCAAATGATTCCCCAAAAGCTCTTCTAAAAAAAAATATAACAAGACAGGCAGTGTTGCATGCCTTTAATCCCTCCAGCTGGGAGGCAGAAGCAAGAGTTCAAGGTCAGTCTGATCTACAGTGAGGTTTGGGCCATCCAGGGCTACACAGAGACTCTGTCTCAAGAATGAAAAAACAAAAAACAAAAACAAAAAAACCTTAATTTTCATCTTATTAATCGCAGTTCCCACAATTGCCTGAAATGTGTTTATGGAGTTATGTATTTTTTTAAATTGGGGTAGAAATAACATTTCATTCAATGGATTTACTTGGGTTTTTTGTTTGTTTTGGGGAGTTCTCTGTGTCTTTGAAGTCTGTCCTGGAACTTACTCTATAGAACAGGCTGGCCTTGAACTCACAGAGATCTGCCTGCCTCTGTCTCCTGAGTGCTGGGATTAAAGGCATAGAACACTATCGCCCAGTCTTTTTTTTTTTTTTTTAATATAGGATCTTACTCTGTAGCCCTGGCTGCCTTGAACTTATGATGATTCTCTTGTCTCACCCTACCAAGTGCTGAGATTACAGGTACGAGCCACCATGTCCACTTGATATGTCTGCTTGTTTTATTTGAAACAGGGTCTTACTATACAGCTCTGGCTGACTTGGAACTCCCTCTGTCGACCAGGTGTCCTCAAACTCAAGAGACCCGCCTGCCTCTGCTTCTGAGTGCTGGGATTAAAGGTGTGCCAGTCTGATGTATGTTTTAGGTAGCTAGAAATCCAAAGGGTTTCCTTCCCTTTATTTTTCTATACTTTTACTTTTTTAAAAATAGAGCTGTTTATCCTAGGTTTCCAGTCTTTATTATGCTGATTGTAATGTTTAACTTGTTCCTCTGACCCCGTGAATCTCTATTACTAGTCCCATTCAAACTCTTGATTTTCTGGTTATCTGAGGGCAGAAATACTTCACAGGTGGGTGTGTACTTCACTCATAAGGCACACAGGACCCCCGCATCTCTATTCATCCACAGATTTGAAAGTGCTTTTATATGATGACTAAAACTAATGCAAGGATACCCCCAGATTCCTTTCCTCACCCCAACAGGATTGTTCTATTCAACAATCCTGCCATCTGGTGGTAAGTGGCAGACACACTACCACAAGCATTCACAAGATGGATTTGGCTTCAGAAAACTATTTATTTACACCTTGGATGTGAATAAATACTACCCCAGGTAAGTTATTGAATTCTCTTTTTTCTAAATTTTTATTGATATAAAATTCACATAACATAATACTCTCTATTTAAAAACTTTACCCTCTAGCTGAGTCTGGTGATGAAATCCTTAGCTGCAGCTACCTGGGAGGCTGAGGCAAGACACTCACAAGAATAAGGTCAACCTGGGCTCCACCAGTCTGGGCAACTTAGGGACAAAAACCCTTATGATTCAATAGTGTTTGTTGTTTTGGCATTTTTTTAAACATATCCACAATGATACAGCTATACAATCAACGCTGTTGCTTCCAATACGCCTTACTCTCAAAAAGAAACCAGGTCCCTGTCAGCAGTTACTTTATATTACTAGTTCCAGACCAAGCAACCACTAATCTACTTTCTGCCTCTAAGGACATTTCATATAAACATCACTTTTTTGTTCTGGTCTTCTTTTACATAGCATTCTTACAAGTTCATCCATGTATGAGAACTTCATCTTCATGGACGTTAAATACATCTACTGTATTCTCTTTACACACACTCATGCACAAAGGAGGAACTGAAGGATGAACGGGAGGGAGAGAGGGAGGGAGGGAGGGAGGGAGGGAGGGAGGGAGGGAGGGAGGGAGGGAGGGAGGGAGGGAGGGAGGGAAGGAAGGAAGGAAGGAAGGAAGGAAGGAAGGAAGGAAGGAAGGAAGGAAGGAAGGAAGGAAGGAAGGGCCTAGAAGGTAATTTCACTAAGTGAAATTAGCCAGACTGAAAGAAGACTATATGATGTCACCTACATGTGTAATCTGAAAGATGAAACTCATAGAAAGACAGTAGAGTTGTTCAAGGCAAAACAAGAGAGGGAATCAAAAACAGCATGATGTGGGTCAAAAGGCATAAATTTTCAACTATAGGAATGAGTTCTGAGATCTAAAGTACAGTATGGCAGCTATCAATACTGCTGTACTGTGTAAGTGTAGAGTCTGCTTTGCTCTTGGAAGTAGCTCCTAACCCATTCCCTGTCATAGTTACTTTTCTCATGCTGTGCAGAGACACTGTAACCATGACAACTTATGGAAGAAAATGTATTGGGAGCCCACAGATCCAGAGGGTTACAGTCTGTGACCATCATGACAGGGGACACAGACATGGTGCTAAGTAGTAGCTGAGGGCTTACATCATTATCCAACAGTATGAGGCAGAGGCGAACTAGGAATAGTCTGGGCTTTGGAAACCTCAAAGCCCATCCCACAGACACACCTCCTCCAGGAAGACCACACCTCCTAATCTTTCCCAAACAGTCCCACCAGTTGGAGACGCAAATATATGAGCTTACAGGAGGCCATTCTCATCCAAACCATCACATCCATCCCTCTGTAAGAAACCCCAATAAACTCACTAATTCACCAAGGTATTGTTAGCTTTTCTGCCATCTCTATCTGGGTTGAGCACGTCTGTTTCCTAGTGTCACACAACACCGTCTCCTGACACCAAGAATCCAATTTTTAAAAGTGCCAGGGTCCTGGACTGGAGAGATGGCTCAGAAACTACAAGTACTTACAGAGGACCCAGGTTACACACACACACACACACACACACACACACACACACACACACACACACACACACACAGGCTCACACCTATCCATAACTCTAACTCAAGGGGATCCAACGTCCTCTTCTGACCAGACAAACAAATAATGTACAGATAATTCATGCAAGCAAAACATTCATGCACATAAAATAAATTTTAAAAATTTAAGTACTGGAAAGGGATTAAGACTGGGCTGGTTTAACCCCCCAGAAACAGCTGACCTGACAAGGGTTTTAGCTCTTGAATCCCAGGCTGATGCCTGGGAATCCAGCATGGGACTGATCAAGAACCCCTGAATGTGGGTGTCAGTGAGGAGGCCTAGGTAATATATTGAGCCTTGGGCAGTAGATCAGTATTTATCCCGGGTATACAAATGGACTTTGGACTCCCATCCAACAATGTGAGATGCACTCTCACCCTGAACTCTTGGGGGAGGGTCTAGACCCTGCCCTGGATGAAATGACAGACTATGGACACCACCATGGAGGGCCTCACCCTCCCTGGGGAAATGAGGGGATATTGGGGGGGGGTAGGGAGAAGGGCATGGGAGGAGGGGAGGGAAACGGAGAGGGACCTGGAACTGACTTGTGAAGCAACCTTGTTTCTAATTTAAATTTAAAAATAAATAAAAATACAAAAAAAATTAAGTACTGGAGTAGGAAGATCTATAAAACAATTTCAGCTAATAAATACAGAATTTTTAAAAATTGTAACTTGATAGGTATGGTGACACATGCCTTTAATCCTAGCACTTGGAAGGCAGAGACAGGCAGGCCTCTGAGTTTGCATAGTCTAGAGAGAGAGTTCCAGGACAACAGAGCTAAGCAGAGAAATGTTTCTCTGTGAAGAGAGGAAAAAAACAAAACAAGCAAACAAACAAAACATTTTAACTCCATCATGCAACCACCAATGCAGCAATTTACTTGGCCAAGGGACTTCAACAGATGCTAAAACCATTAGATAAAATATTCTGAGAACAGTGGGTTAAGCGTCACAGAGTATCAACCACACAAGACTAATAATTAGCTCAATAGGTAAAGGTATATTTTCATTCACAGAGACATCTGACAAAAGTCTTCACTTACCTAAGCATTCAATAACCTCTTCAATATTAGGACAAACTAGCCATAAATATGTTCTATCTATTCACCAAGAACTGTTGAAACATTACCAATGTAACCAATATAGTTTTTAAAGATATCTTACAATGTAACCTAGGGTGGCCTCTCTAGTTACCCATGTAGTGTATTAAAAAATTAAATTCAACCTGAATTGTTTAAAGAAAAGGAAATAATTATACACATTTGAAATGTTGGGCAAAGCTTGGAGCCCACATAAATGTCAATGGCATTGAAGAAAAAAAGAAGATAAGACAAACTATTTCATAATATAGCAAAGTATTCAGGATAATCAACTAAGACACATTATACCTGACTAGATCCCAGAGAGAAAGAGGAAAGGTACAACTATGTAGGACATAATGCACAAAAGGTGAAAAAACTAGAATATGGCTTGTGTGTTAGACAATGTTACTAGTGATGTTCACTGTCTTAAAAATAGAGTGTAATGGCTAGATAGGAAAATGAATCTGTCCTCAACAGATATAGTTGCTGAGGAATTTAGAGTTAAATCACCACAACATATACAACTTATTTTCAAATGGTTCAGAAAAAAGCTACTTTTCAGGGGCTGGGGAAATAGCTGAGCTGTTTTAAAGTACTGGTACAGTAGGGTGTGGTGTGTACGTACACCTTTTAACCCTAGCATTCTACTCAGAGGCAAAGGCAAGTGGATCTCTGTGAGTTCAAGGACAGCGTGGTCTATATAAAGAGCCCTGGACAGGGAGGGCTAACAGAGAAATCCTGTCTAGAAAGAAAGTTTTGGGGCTGGAGAGATGGACGATGGATGGCTCAGCAATTAAGAGCACTGGCTGCTTTTCCAGAGGACTCGGGTTCAATTCCCAGCACCCACATGTCAGGTCACAACTGTCTGTAATTCCAGTGCCATGGTATCTGATATCCTTACACAGGTAAAACACAAATGCACATAAAAAAAAAAAGATACGGTAGTGGTCACACAAACATGAAGACCTGAATTCAGCACCCACATAAGCGCTCAGAGAGTGGCGCCTGAGTGTAATGTGAACACTGGAAAGACAGGGTTTGCTGCCTACTCAGTCAGGCAAATCAACAAGGTCCCCAGTTCAATAAGTGACCCCACCTTAAAAAATAAGGTAGAGAAAACAGAAAAGAATTGTATATACTGAACAGAGGTATATGCACATACAGTGAAGATGTTTTTAATGGGCAGTAAGGATACAGAATAAATTTTAAGATGTTGATTTCCAGAAAAGAAAGGAAGAAAAAGATTGGGGAGAAGTATAATAGGAAGCATTTTAAAAATGAGAAGCAGTAAAATGTCTGCACTTTTGTTACTGGAGTCATTGGTCCATGGGCATTTTTTATATGATTCTGTAACCTCTTCGACATAGATGTAATATTTCAATCTGACATATCAATACTACTTCATCACAAGTGATAAGGTATATTGCATTGATAAATGTATATACACAGAATGACAATGCAGGGAAACTTTATCGTTCAAAACTTCTCCAGTAATGACAAACAGATAACTTCCAGTATTAGTGTCTGAGGTAACTAAAACAAACTGACCTTTCTATGGAATACCACCAATTGATGATGAGACATTACCCTAACAAGACACTTCAATGTATGTGAAATGCATGACCCTGAATGAACTCTGGAAAAATTTCTCAAACTGAAGGTCCTGGAAAGCTGTTAGGAAACTGCAGGAGTGACCTTTCATACTGACCTTTGTGACTAGACACCAGCAGAAAGAAGGAGCAGCCACACACTGCAAGCACTTAGAAAGTCTGCCTTTGGAGCAGCTCTGCAAACACCCTATCACATTCCTTACCTTTGTATCTGAGCAAACATCCACTGCAGACAATGTTCAAAGCAAGTCCCAAGTCACAGAGGATTCCCACACTATACTGCACCTCATTCCTCAACAGATGTAACAAAGGGATATAAATAATTCCAAGAAGGAACTCTTAAGTCAGTCTGCACAGGCGGTTACATCACTACCGAGGTCATTAGCGCAGTCCTACCTTCTGTTTTCCGCTGTAACACTGCCGTCAGGTGCTCTATTGCTTCGTCCACATGCAGCCCATGGAGGTCTAGGACATTCTGAGGCAGCAGAGAGGCGTTGACTTTCTCGAAGATCTCCACAGCAGCAAGGTGGTTGGCTTCTTTCATCTTCTGCTCATGGAGACTGCCCTTTAATCATAACACACCACCAACAAACCGCTTTTGATAACTACCACTTAGACCAGTGGTACTCAACTTGTGAATGCTATGAGTTTATAGAGTTTCTCATGTTGTGGTGACCCCAACCATAAAATTATTTCTTTGCTACTTCCTAACTGCAATTTTGCTACTGTTATGAATCATAATGTAAATATCTGATATGTATGTTCAATTTGAAAACCATAGGTTGAGAACTTCTGACTCAGACAATCAAGAAGCAAAAGTGCCCTAAATAAAAACTGGAACACTGAATCTAACATCTTGATGTAATAGACAAGGATGAAGCAAACTTTGGAAAAATTCAGTAACTAAATAATACGGTTCTTACACTAATCAAAGTTTGCAAAGTGAAAATGAAAAATTCTTAAACAAAAACATAAAAGGAAACTATTTAGCTCAATAAAGAACCAACTGATTTAATGCTTGATTAAGTGATGTATATTCTTTGATAATTCTGAGCCTCAGGTTGGTGATCCCTTCAAACTTCTTCTAGTTACCCTCAGGTCTGTTGTTAGGCTGCAAAGGACTACACTAGTTTGACACCTTCTGCTCAGTAACAAAAGAGTAAGCACGTGGAACACAAAAATGAAAAGGGCATTTATTTCTTACATTACCATGCAGCAAAGTGAGCCCAGCAAGAAACTTTATTGTCTTGAAAAATATGAATATATTTTTCTTCTTTGTGAACATAAAAGTGATGCTTGAAGACTAGGGGGATGGCTCCATGGTTAAGAACGATTGCTGTGCAAGCTTCAAGACCTAAGGTCACGTCAAAAGAAAAGCTGGGCATACCCGCATGTGCCGTAAGCCCAGCATTAGTGGAAGAGAAGACGGATGCAGGAAGCTGAAGGCCACACTTCCAGTTCAGTACTTCCATGCTGCCCGCCTCACTGCAGTCAATAAGAAACCGCAGTAGAAAGACGGTTCCTCTGGCCTCTGTATGCACAGGAACATGCACTAACACAGTCCTATACACATATCAAATATATACACAAAACATAACATACCCATGTGATTCCAGTGTAAGACAAACTTTTCTGCTTTCTTTCCTCTAAGAAACTTCTATCTGTTCAGATTTGCTACTAAATAATACACTGCTCAGGAGACCACGAGATCATTTGATTTCATCTGAAGGAGAGAACACACCACAATTCCCCAGGCCTAGTGGTACATAGCCATACTCCCAGCAACTTGGAAAGCTAAAGCACAAGAATCACAAGTTCAAGGCCAGCCTGGGTAATTTTATGAGACTTAAGTCTCAAAATAAAAAATAAAGGAAAAGAAGAAAATAGAAAGAGAATAAAGAGGGCTAGCAACGCGGCTCGGTGGCCGGAGCACTTGTCCTGGCACGCGTGAGAGCAAGTCACACTGCAGACCGTGGAACAACAGCAACTAGGAAGCTCCACGTACAACAGCAACGGTAGAACACTCACAGGGCTCTTTCCTATTAGGACACTGTATAAGTCATTTAGGTAGTCTCTAAATTCTTCCCCCAACAATTGCTAAGCCAAAACTTAACGTAAGCATCATGTACTTCAGACTACTTGAATTGGCGAACTGTGAACAGTTTCCCACCTTACCTGTTGGGCATAAAAAGTGGCCACATTCTTCTTCCCCATGCGGTAGGCTTCCTTGGCCTTGCTGTAGCACTCCATCCTCTTCTGCTGGTGCAGGAAAGCCTCTGCCCTGTAGTCATCATACTCAGGGTACTCAAAATCCTGGAAAGACGGGTCAGCTGACATATCGTCAGTCTCTCTTGGTTTCTTTGCCTAGAACACAATACGTGATACACAAATAAAGGTTGAAAAATGAATGTCTTATCACCAGAAAATGCATACACAAACTAGGCTGTGAGTCAGGCATGTTAGCACATGCATATAATCCTAGTACTTAGCTGGGAAGCAAAAGCAGGAATATCAGACAATCAGATGTCTTGAGGGTGGTATGGTCATAAACAGTCAGGACAGTCAGGACAGTCTTGGCTGCACAGTAATTGGAGGTCAGCCTGGACATATGAGTTTGAACAAAAGGAAAAAACAGCCAGGCATGGTGGTGTACACTATTAATCCTAACATTCAGGAGGCAGAGACAGTCAAACCTCTCAGTTCAAAACCAATACAATCCAGCCTGGATAGCCAGGACTACACAGAGAAACCCTGTCTCAAAAAACCAAGAGAGAGAGAAGAAAAGAGAAACCAAGTGAACAACTAGACTTATCTTTTATCCTCAAAAGAGATTTCCTTGGTGTCTACATTATAAGTCAAGCATGCACTACCATTAGCTTTTTCATTTCAGTAACAATACCCACCCCTCCTTTAACCATTTTTAGAAGACACTGAAATCATTAAAATACAATCAGGTCATAAATCAAGCCAAGATAGTCAGAGAGCAGTACAAATATATTCAGCACAGATCCAAACTGTGGTTTGTGGTTAAGCATATTCACAAATTTCAAGTCTTGAATAGTGTTGCACACCTATTCTCCCAGCACTTGGGAGGCAGAGGCAGGCGGATCTCTGTGAGTTTGAGGCCAGGCTGGACCGACAGCTTCCAAAACAATACAGAGAAACCCTGTCTCGTACAACCAAAATAAATAAATAATATATATGTAATGTATATTCAAAACCAAAATCATAATTTTCAATACTTTTAAAAAACATGCTTTTATTGATATAATAATTTGATTGAGGTTACTTACTAAAATTTAACAAGCTGAAAATTACCATTTTGCTTAGAAATATTACCAAGAATTATATTTATAGTGTACTATATAAAGCAATCTTCAATGAGACATAGGTTTAAAATCTTATAGCCTATCATTTAGTTTATAGTCATACTATAAAAACATTATGTATTATGTAATTCATATCTCTAACTGATAAAAATAAGGGAAGAAAAGATTTGCAAAAACTGACCTAATACACCTTTAATCCCAGCACTTGGGGGACAGAGACAGTCAGATCTCTGAGTTTGAGGCCAGCCTGGTCTACACAGAGTTTTCCAGGCTAGTCAGGGCTACACAGAGAAACCCTGTCTAAAAACAAACAAAATGGGCTGTAGAGACAGCTCAATGGTTAAGAGCACTTGCCGTTCTTGCAGAGGGGCTGGGGTTTGCTTCCTAGCACCCACCCATATTGAGGCTCAAAACTTCTTGTACCTGGAGTTCTAAGGGATCTGATGCCCTTTTCTGGCCTCCATGGGCCCTGCATACATATGGTGCACATATATACATGCATGTAGATAGAATACCCAAATACATAAAATAAAAAAGCAACAACAAAAACCCTAATGCTGATACGAGATTAATATGTAAAAATCCGTATTTCTATGGAGTTGTAATGAGTAATCAAACATAAAGTAAAACAATTTCTAGGTAAAATAGAGAAACCACTTAGGAAAAAGACTAGCACTCAAAGTTAAATATTTTGATCACATATGTAGATCCTGAATTCTATGATACAATAAAAATTATTGCTATTCAATTATGCCTCATACTCTACTGTGTCTACCTAGGAAACTCTACACAGTATCTACAGGAATTTAAGTGCTTTCCATGTACGACAATATTAAACAAAAACATAATTAGATATAAATTCATTGTTTGAAGTACACAGATCATGGTGAAAAATAATCACTAAACTATTATACTCAATACACAAACCATATTTTTATATACATTTATTTGCTAACAGAATAAAAGTTCAAATCACTCCATACCTTTTTATCTTTCCCTTTCAGTGCAGAATGAGAAGTGATATTCTCATTTTGGTGAACACATTCTTGAGCTACGACTGTTTTCACGGGGTCTCCTTCAAGAACACAGTTTAGAAACTGTACCGTGTGTTCCAGGGAATAGCTGTTTAAATATAATGTTTGTAAAAGAAACTGAAAGTTCTATAGCATATCCAAGCAATTTCTAAGAATATGAAAACGAGCTTGAAAGCTGGCTCAACTCTCACTTGCTGCTTTCCCAGAGAACCCAGGTTTTCCCAATGGTATGCTAACTGTTGTTCCAGATCTTATGCCCTCTTCTGCCTCCTGTGAGCACCAGGCATGCACGCATGGGGCACACATACACACGTGTAGGCAAACACTCATATTCATAGAAGAAAAAATAAATGTACTTAAAAATTTTTAAGTGTAACAAATTGGCTTAAGTTTGGATTTTGGGGGTTTTTTGAGGGTGGTCCTTTTTTTTTGTTTGGTGTTATTTTGTTTGTTTCTTTTTTTTTCCCAAGACAGGGTTTCCTGAATTAATTCTGTAAATTAAGCTGACCTTGAACTCACACAGATCCTCTGTGCCTCTGCCTCCTGAGCACTGGGGCTAAAGGTGTGTACCACCACTGCCTAGCTTATTTTAAGTTTTTAATATTGAAACAATGTACTTGAAGCTTCAAGAATAAACTCTGGAAAATCTCAGGAAAAATAATAAGTAATTGGGTCCCATTTCTATTTTCCTTTTCTTTCCTTTCCTTCTTTCTCCCTCCCCTCTCCCCTTATTTTAAGACAGGTCTCACAATATAGCTCTGGCTGCTTTGGAACTTGCTATAAATAAAAACCAATCTGGCCTGAACTCACAGGGATCTGCCTGCCTCTGCCTCCCTAATGCTGTACAAACAACAACACACACAATCATACACACGAACCCTTTAAGGATCTGTTTTATTTTATGTGCAGGGGTGTTTCACCTACATGCGTGTCTGGGTACCACATGGGTGTCTGGAACCTGAGGAGGCCAGAAGGAGGTTTCCTGGAACTAAGGTTACAGAACAGATGTCAGCCACCACGTAGCCTACAAACTCTGGTCCTCTGATGGTGCAGGCATTGCTCTTAACCTCTCAGCTATCTCTCTGGTACAAGACCTTGAACTCGTTTAATAATTAACAATAAGGATGATGATGTGCAGGTACAACAGCTCAACAGGTAAAGACTTGATGTCACACTTGATGCCCTGCGTTTGATCCTCAGAATCCACATGCTGAAAAGGAAAACCCAAGTCTCACACTTGTCTTCTCACCTCCACACTTCCACCCTACTGTTTACACACAATCAATAAATGAATGAATGAGTAAAAAATTCAGGTGTTTGGGAAAAGCATGTTTAACCTAATTAAACACTACCCAATGTGCACATACAGTAAAACATTGTGTGACTTAATATGCACTTCTGTGTTTATATGCCAGTCAAAATTAACGAGGCAGGGGATGCGGCTCAGTTGGTAGAGCACTTGTCTGGAAGCCCTGGGTTTGATTCCCAGAACTGTAATCCTAGCCCTTGAGGCAAAAAGATCAGAAGTTCAAGGTCATCCTTAGCAACACAAGGTTAAGGACAGACAGCCTGGGACACAAGAGACCATTAGTTGATTTAAAAAAAAAAAAATTCTGTAAAGTCCTGGGTTCAAACCCTAATACCAAAGTAGTAGGAGGTAACACTGATAAGTCAATGCCTAATTTCACTTAATTATTTATTTTGGAGTCAGGCTATATAGCCCTTGTTGATATAGAACTTGTAGCATTGCCAGAAGTGGTGGCATATGCCTTTAATCCCAGCACTCAGGGAGGCAAAGGTAGGTGGTGAGTTTGAGACTAGCTTGGTATACATAGTGAGTTCCAGGACAGCCAGAGCTGTTACACAGAGAAACCATGTCTCAAAAAAACAAACAAACAAAACACGAACAGAGCTTGTGGCATGCCTGCAGCCTATATGCTGAGTTCCTGGTATTATTTGAGGCTCATTAGCTGCATGGCTTAATTGCATCATCTATATTCCATAAATCTTTTAGGATCTATACATAGATTATCTCCTTCCAAAATCAAACACAGTAAAACACCTCCATGCCAATATTAGTATTGTAACAAACTCCACTGAACAAACAGTGTGAGATTCTAGTTTAAAATGGAAGCAAAGCACTGTCTACCCTTCGGCCCCATGGTGAATAGGTAACAAGAAGATTAAAGAAAAAAATAACAAGGAATACAAATGACCAGAAGGTTACACTTTCTGTATTATACTAAATTTACACTTAATTATTTATAATATATCCAATCAGAAAAATAAACACTAGAGATTGTTTGGGATATGCTTCCAGTAGTACAGTAAAAATCACAACCAGTTCTTCTAACACTCACTTGTGATCTTTGAAAATGTCCACCAGGAAATTTTGGTTAATGGCTGGGAATATTTTAAAGAGCTGCTTCTCCTTTAGTTTAGTGGCACAGTCTTTTTCAAACATAAATGTCTCCCTTTTCTAAAACAGAACAGAAAAGAAAAATCACCCTTAAGATGAAATTTGTGAGACAGACAATACTGAACAAAGGCTAATTATTTTTTTTGCAAAAAGACCAAGAATTTACAAAAAAAAGAATCACAGACTTTCCTCACTGATCAAAGGCTGAGGTTAGTAATGTAAGTATTCTTATACTATTTATTTATATTCCATTTTTTCCAAGTATTGAAGGTATTCATAAATATATATAATCACATATATACACATACATATACAAACCCAACGAAGTCTATTATGTATACTCTATAACAAGGATGAAGCTCCACAGAATCATGAACCACATGACGATGCTTCAGTAAACGAGGACCCACACATACACTGATTGATACATGCTGTACCTTCCAGCCTGAGTGCGCAGTAAGCCATACGAGGCTGGTGGAAACACACTAGAATATTCATGCGACAAACCACCTAATGATGCCTTGAGACATTATTCAACATTAATAAATCACAAATCAATTAATAAATGAAGACAAAGATTAGAGAAAATAAAGACAAGAATATAGGATAAAGGTAACAAGTAAAATTAGTATTATGCCACAAAATCCTGTACAGTTGCTACAAATTTAGTTCTGAGCCCCCTTAATGGCCAAAGCAAAGAGAAAGAAACTCTCAGTGTCCATAAATTTAAAACAAGCCAGTTGCTCAGAAGTACAGATTTTCTGGTACTGAAACCTAAGGAAAATGTCTCCCAAGTCCTCATTAAGGGATAGTGTGTGATGCTGTGAATGTCCTCAGAAACACATCTCCTCAGTGAGCAGTAACTACAATGTATAAACGTTGTCAATTCAGGATGACAGAAAACCTTATAACTAGTAATTACTTCAAGTGTTTTCACAAATACATTTACTCAAAAATAACTATGTGAGTATTAATAATTTTCCCAATCCATAAAGCTGCCTATTCAAAACAAGTACTCCAGCCAGGCAGAGTTGCATATGCCTATAGTGCTGGATGTTTAAGAAAGAAAGACAGAAGTTCAACAACAGCCCGTGCTATATGTTAAGATCCTAGCACAAAAAGTGAAACAACTGTTAGCCTAAATGAACTTCCCAAAAATCCATCCCTTGTCTGTGTCCGTGTTCCGTACACTGTGTCCATGTGTGTGACAGAATAAAATACATTAAGTTGTAAAGTCAAAAGACATTCATTTGTATTCATTTGTTAACTACTAGTGAGATTATGACACAGGTCAGACAAAAGTTTCAATGATGGAAATGGGATCTCAGCAAAACTATTACACTATTCAAGCCTAAAGTTAGGTTTTCCTATTTCTTTTAGGAGAATCCATTTCTCCAGCTCACTACACTTAAATTAAGAAGGGTATCTGAAACTGCAGCAAAATTCTAAGATACTACTTGAAGCTACTTTATATAGGGGTGCAATGGCAGAAACTTAATTATGAAAACAACAAGGGGAAAGTAAGTTTGAAGAACCTTCACTCCTACAACTAATTCTATGCACTGCAGTCAAATAAAAAAGGTGAGTGACTCTGTGAGTCACACTCAGTCAAGTAAAGCATCTTGGTCACCACTTAAGGATCTCTTTTCCTGTAACTAGAATAAGTCACTTCCAAAGTCTTCCCATTTTAATTTTTAAATTCCTTAGCGGTCACTTTCAAAATTTGAAAAGAAATATGAAAGAAATCAAATTTACCAATGGCTTCAAATAAGTACACTGAAGTAAAAGACAAAAAGTAAATAAGATTTAAAATAAAGTTTCTATTTGAACTTTAGTTGAAGAGTAGAAGGAAGAAAACTGGATTGTAAATACAAATTCCTAAGTTTCTGAATTTTTTTCTCTCAATTTGTTTTAAATTTAAAGATAGGCACATCTTTAAAAAAAGCAATGTAATTATTGTTACTAAATAATGTATGATACTATCTTCAAATGAAAGATTTCTAATTTTTCTATGTAAAAAATTACAGAAGTAAATGTTAAAAACCAACAATGATACAGCGTGCAAACACATACTTTTTTAACACAGATGACCTAAGTATGTGAGAGTATCACCTACCTAGAAGCAACGCGCCTCAACCAGATTCTATTTAAAACATTTTCAGTTTTAATATCCACTTTAGACAGGTTAAACATGAAGTCCAGATCAGGAGACAGAATTAAATGAGAATCACATACTAAGCAACCTGCCGTCAGAGACTACGGATTAGTAGCTGTGACAGCCCATACCAAGTCATGTTTCTCCTGCAAGGCGATTTCTTCTGACATTATTTCTCTCAGTGAAACTTTTTTTGTTTGAGTGTTCCAGGGATCCAGTGTCTCAGGTGCCACTAACGTCTTCAATAATTTTTTGCCTGCTTTCTGAGATGATTTTTGTTCAGCATTATCAAGAACAGCAGGTCCAGTCAGCAAAGGATCTACAAGAGTAAGAAAATAGTGTCACATATTCAGCAACTGATGTACAAATTCTTAGTCCCAAGACAAAAGAAACATGGGATTTTAAAATCCTTTTCAGCTTATAATATGACTTTACTATTTCAAAATAAACCTTCACATAACTACAAGCAAGAAACACTAATACAAGACTATTTCCAATGAGCAGTGACCTGGGTGTGACTATACATTGGTTCAATGCTTCCCATACTTTTCCATATCAGTTTGACTCCCTTCCTCCCCCCACCCCTAACAAAAGCTAGTCAATCAATGCAGGGAAGTGAGCAACTGGGAGAGCCCTGCCTAGCCCGCTCTACTGTTCCTGGAACTGAGAAGAGCAACATGCTGACAAATAGTAACAGACCAGAGGCATACTATAAACACTGAGCAAATTATATTAAAACAAAGAACAAACCACACAGTTCAGAGTGATAGAAGTCAGCATGTAACACACTTCAACATCTCTAAGGGGTACAGACACATTCTGACCTAGTCCTGTCTCTGTGGGAGTGAAGACATGGCAGCCACTGCAGCTACTTGCATTTGTAGAACCGTAATATAGTCCAGTCACTTCTACCCTCAGCCAGCTTACCTCCCTTTTTAACTATGTGCATTAATTCTTTGAAATTTTCACATTGTTTTGATCATATTCATCCCCTCCTCCAGCCCCCCCCCCAGACCCCGCTCCCCACCCCAGATGGACAAAGACTTGTGTCTTTCATTTTTCAAAGTTCACCAATCCTTATGAGTGCTGCCTACATCCTTTTGGACGGGTGGCCAGTTTTCTCTCTTGAGCCCAGGACCCTTCGCCCTGCACGGCTGCACTGGGGACGCAGTGTGGTGCGGACAAAGAAGCACTAACAGTGCCCTCTCTTAGCAGGTCTGCCATGGCAGAGACCAGTGTGGCAACACTGTGTAAGAAGTCACCTGGGATCAAGCACCTTCAAGTTGGCAGGGTTTACCAAAAGAGCAGCTTTACTGTTGCACTCCGATATCAATAAACATTTGAATAGCCAAGAAATATTTCTACATTACTATCAAGAAATTTAACCCAATTAGTTTTTCTCATACAGAGCACTTTGACACCATGTATCAGAGCTCACTTGAGACACTCCACCCCAGTCATGAAAACATACAGTGCACAACCTTATTTCCTGTACACTTCTTCTCTACATCAAGATTCAATGTGAAAAATATTTTGAGAGAACCTTTATCTGTAGCTGGGCACAGTGTGATCCCAGCAATCAAAAGGTTTAAAAAGGAAGCATTGTGAATTCAGACCAGTCCTAGCTACAGAGTAAGACTGTCTCAATACAAAAAACAAGTTTTTTTTTTAAGAGGGAGTATTTTTTTCATTTGCAAATCAAAACAAAAACAAACAAACAAAAAAAAAAACTCCACCTACATATTTAAAATGAGTCAAGATACGCACACTCCAGCCAGAGGTCGTGGCGCACAGCACTCGGGAGGCAGAGGCAGGCAGATCTCTGTGAGTTTGAGGTCAGCCTGCTACAGAGCAAGTTCCAGGACAGGCAGAATGTTTACACAGAGAAACCCTTGCCTCAAAAAACAAAAAACGAGCACACTCCATGTTCCAACATGAAGACAAATTGAAAGTCAGAGTATGTACTTTACTTACCTTGCACACACTTGCCACAAGACACCTCCTCCTGTCTCTGTCGCTCCTGAATACAAAGGCAGAGCAAAGGTTGGCAAAGGACACTGCACTAGCAAACATGCTACAAAGTTATAGCGGCTTCCTCTAGAAACCAGTTCTTTATGTGAACTGTAAATCACTATTAAAACTAAGTAAAACAATGAAACCATATAAATGAAATTACCAAGAACAGCTACATATATATGTGTGTGTATATATATACACATACACACACACATATATATACATATATCTATATTCCTACTTACAAAGCTCTATTTTTTAAGATTTATTTTATTATTTTTTTTAAATTTCTTGCATGTATAAAGTCTGCATATGGGTATGTGTAAAACAAACACAGGGAGCTCTTCATACAAGGAAGCTACTAACCATTACAGAGTCTCTCCATTTCTCATGAATCACTTTAGCCAGATTCAGATCTATATGAACCACACAATCCTCAACTGTCAGAGACCCTTGTGAAGGGAAGAAAAGAAGATATAATCATTACTCATCATACATTTGCAGAGAATGTTTAATAGTAAATTTTGTCATTAATCACTAACAGATTTCTATTTACTTGAAATGTTTTTATGTTCTACGTCACTGTTCTCATACTAGCTGGGGCAACATGCAAAGCTTCATTACAAGTCCATTTAGGTGGCTCACATCTCCATGCCTCAATAACAGTACATTCCTTCAGTTAAGACTTTCCGCAACTGTGCTCTAGGAAATTACTCCCTGCTTTAAATCTATCTGAAATAACATCAAACACAAAGTTCACTTTTGCAAATAAATGTAAGGCAAATACTCAAGAATACTTGCAACATATTCATGGATATATTAAGATATGAAATTCTATATAAATATTTTCTACTTCAAATTAATTGTTTTAATCCTTTAAAACATGAAACATGTCATGTCAAAAATAAGGTACTGTGTAAAATTATGTGACATAAATTACTGACACATTCAGCCAGTGAAATAATTGCAACTGAAACAGAAACTTGTATATACTATTTACACACACACACACACACACACACACACACACACACACACACACACACCATACCCACGCAACCACAGATAATTTACTTTTTCCTTACCTGAATCAATACCAACTGGGCCAAATAATTCATTCAGTTGAAAAGCCAGCTCAGGGGGTAATGCCAACTCCAGACAGTCTATGGTCAGAGACTTGGCCATCACTGGTGTGGAATTCACTAGCTCAGTTTTCTCCTCTTCACTAACTCCAGCTGGCAAACTAGTTCCCGGCATTAGAATTTTATCCATTTCCTGTTTATCTTCAATGATAAATTCTTCCATGTTTCCAAATTTCACATAATCAGTAGGAAGACTTTCATTTTTCTTTGCTTCCAAAGAGCCAGTAAGATAAACTTCTTCATTTAATTCAGGATTTGAAGTGTTTGTTGCATAGTTTATAATATCAGATAAATTTAAAAAAGGATGCATACTGCCTCCAGTCTCTGTAGCTACTAGATTTTTGTCCGCTTCACTAACATCTTTAAGGACATTTGATTTTGGAGTAAATGGAAGAGACAGCTTACAGCCATATGCACCTGACAATTCAGTACGACTGTTAGGAACTATTTCATTACTATTCTTTGCATTGACAGCAGCACTGGGAAATATTCTGGTTATTAACTCGGGGTTTCCAGGATTTATAGTTCTTATCTCTTCCTGCTTTGAGCTCCCCTTTTCTGCACTACCAGCAGACTGTGCATTAGTGTTCCGGATACCAACCCCAGGATTAAACTCTGATACAGAAGAGTTAGAATCTTCCGAGGTTCCTCTGTGGCTAATAATTTCCTTCAAATCCAACCCCATAGAAAATGGACCAACCTGTGACTCATCATAGGATTTGGGGGGGTTCTCAACCTCAGTGTCCTCACATAATTTAGTCTCAGAGTCCAACAAAAGGCTTGTGGCCCAAATAATATCTTTATTGCATCTCTCGTATAAATCCTTCAGGGCTTCTAGGGAAAACGATCCAAATAGTTTACAAAGAATGTTAAGATTTTCAGACTCGTCAGCACTGGTAAGCTCACTTTCTTCCACATACGTACTTTTATCATGCATTACTCTGTATGGAATTGCTTCTTGAACATTTAATTTGGTATCAACAGGAAAATCTTTTGGCTTAAACCCATCTAACTTTCCTGTTAACACTCTGACAGAATCTGAAACACTGATTTTATTCTTTTCTAGTTTCCACAAAAGAGCAAAATCTTGGGGCTCAGTCTGGGCACATGTGCTTGTATCTAGCCCAGACACTCCCACTGCTAGAGACTGAGGTCCCATGACTCCAGGAAGAGCTGCTGCACTACTGGGAAAGTGAAGGGGCAGTGTGTGCTGGCTAGGAAGCGTTTTACTCGGGGAAGTCTGACTCTCATGAGGTGTTTTATGAGGCAGCATCTCAGATCTTCGAAGGGTGGAACCCAGAGATTTCAGTTCTTCAGGACTTGTGCCCCAATAAGCCTCATGTGTGGAATATAAGGGTATTTCACCCATGTTGTCATTAGTTCCAAATTCTAAGTTGGGTTCCTTTAAGCCAGCTTTTGGTATTTTTGATCTGTGCTCTCTCTGAGCTAAGGAAGCAGATGAGGGCCAGTCGCCCACAATGCTAAATGAGGTTTGCTCAGTACTTTTGTAAGTATCATATTGACAGCTACCAGACACTTCTGAAAGATCATCGTTTCCATGTGGAGATCCTCGCCGCTGGATATGATCCGTATTCACAGATACCCTAGTATCTAATACTTTGTGCGACTGGGGGCGATTACACTTTTTGTCATTTTGTACAGATAAACCTTTTTCAGTTTTCCGGTTCCTTTTGGTCCTCTGGCTAATTGTCTTATCAACTGGCCAGTCACCAACAAAATTTGATGGCTCATGCTTTGGAAACTTTTCCAAAGATGATTTGCTTTTTTGTTTTCCAATGGTCTTTTTCTTTCCTGTTGTTCTCTCTTCCAGTATTCCAGGCGGTGGGGGGTTTCCACTTTGAAGTGTCCCAGCACTCGCAAGTTCACTGGCCTCTTCATCAATCTCAGCACAGTAACTACCTGATGATGCTCCATCTGCTCGGCTCCAAGCATCTGCTTCAGCACACTCTTTAGAAGTCACTGTCTCTTGCTCTTTCTCACTCTCGTCTGTGGCTTGAACTTTGCTTTCAGAGTGAGGAAAACAGGTGTTTGGGGCTTCCCGCAGGAAGGGGCTGTGTGCACCGTGACCCACAACACTCATGTCCTTTCTTCCTCTGTCTAACCCTGCATGAGGGACAGGGGGGGCACTCTCCGGGAACACTGCTTCTTTGGCCACGTCAAGCGTGTTCTCCTCAATTAACTCTAAGTGCTTCGCAGATGTGGGTAAGACATTTTCTTCCTTTTCAGAGGTAACAGCTTCATTGTCTCTTGGGCTACAAGACATTTTTGAAGTGTGGTAAGAAAGTACTATTAATACTGTGACTTAAATTAAAGAAGCATGCAACCAGACAGCATTTAGCATTTATTCTAAATATTCAAAAATAAATTACAGGAAAGTTATAAAGCCTGGGATGGGGATATAAGTGAGTAGTTTAGCTCAGAGGCAGGGTACCAGCTCAACAAATGTCAGGTCAGTCCTTGAGTTCAATTCCTGGACTAGTGGAAGAAATATTTTAAGAGCTAATCTTACCTTTCCCAAAAATACCATAACCACAATCCTTTCTTCTAAGTCTAACACCTGGCATTCTGTGCAGCATACACAAAGCAAACTGAGTGGGACAGTAACCTCAAGTGGTCACAGTGCTATCTATGTGTTGACTATCCCAACGAAGGTTCTAAATGTACTCACATGAGGGGACAATACCCTGCTGGCTTCTTTCATATCCATAGCTTAGCACAGATTACAGCATATCTGCCTACTTCTAATCCCATCTGCCATTTATTACAGAGGAAGCTTCATTTACAGAACTGTTTCTCAACCTGTGGGTGGTCAAACACCCTTTCACAGGGGTCACCTAAGACCATTAGAAAACACAATTTTCTTACATTCCAATTCATAATAATAGCAAAATTAGAGCTATGAAGTAGCAACAAAGAGAAAAAGGGAAAAACTAAAAAAGAGATGTACTTGTATAACCACAGACTCACAAACCCTCAGCTCAAAGAGAAAATACTCTTATCTTTCACATGAATTTTTACTTCGCTTGCTAACATCCTCAGCTGACTCCAGTGACACATTCAAATAGAAGTGATTTCAAAAGTCTTCAAAGTTACCATTAAAAACAAAACATAGCTTCAAACTGAATGTTTCGTACATAACATATTTTAACCTACCTAGAACTTCTGTCCTCACAAGAGTACGCACACAACTCAATCCGCTCCATTCTCTCTGGATCGGAGGAACTCATGATTATTGGCACAGACACAAAACGCTGGTAGTGCTCCAGCATTCGGGCTATTTTCTCTTTGCTCACTCCATGAATGTTACGCCTGAAAATGCCAGGGAACAGAAAGGTGGGAAGAATGTTACAGGCAACCAAAGGGGAAAAAACAAAACAAAGATCATTCAAAGTCCAGGAGAATAGTACATTTCTTATCTTTGTATTCAGTACCGGGGATTGAACTCAGGGTCTGGGGCATGCGAGGTAAACACTTGACCACTGAGCTATATCCCTAGCACCATTAATGGACACATTCTAATGTATGATCAAGTAAGGATAGCAGAACTGGTTTTTACATGATTCATACACTCTAGTGCTAATTTCATTTTCATCTCATTTTATTTCAGGAGGTTTGTTTGCATTTGTTTTAAGATGCAGTCTTGCTATGAAGCCTGGGCTGCTGACCTGAAACTTGGGATCCTCCTGCCTCAAACTTTTGGGTGTTGGAATTCCACGAGCCTAGTCAAGTTCTCGTACAAAATTTTCCCCAAATATCCTCTACTAATTCAGGAGAAAAAGAGGCTTCAATAACCTTAAAAGTTGTTCTAAAGCTCTGCAATAAATAAATAAATAAATGTTTGAAGAGGCTCATAAAAACAATGACTGTCATTTCAACGGTTTTAATTAACTATGAGCAATAAGTATCCAACTTTAATGACTGAGTAAATGTCCCAAAGTACCTCCGCGTTATAATAAAACTAGATCCCAGCTAAACCAAAACAAACACACTTTATTACATTTTAAGTTCAAACAATATTTCTAAATTTCTAGGATACTGTCTCTGGAAGCCCAAATAAGAAGTTTATTATTTGTGTTTCCAGTCTTGCTTGTTTCCTTGTATGTTTTTTGTTAATGAACTTGCAGTTAGTTAACCCTAACACAGGGTCTCAAACTGAGGGTGCTTTCTGGACTTGCACTGCCAGGAGGTGGAGTTTCTTAATGAAAACACCTCAGTAGTATCTCTTTGGACTCAAGGCTAATATTAGTGTTTGCCTCTTGGGGAAATCTAGCTTTCATATTTACCTACCTCGATCTTGTCTGGTTTCATATCACAGAGAAGCAAAGAGATAGAAAATATGAGAGAGGTTAAGAAACATAGACATAGAGGCCAGAGCAAAAAACTGGTCTCGTATACCACTGATTCAAGTCTGAAGAAGAGAGGAGAGGGATGAACAAAAGCAATTTAAAGATAAATGCTGAGATTTTCTACAACTGATGAATGACACAATGTCAAACAAGATAACAGCATAAGAAATCCATAACTAGAAACATATGTAAAAATTGTCACACACCAAAGAAAAGAGATGATATTAAGCTAAAAGTTTTTAAAAAAAGGCCAATCATATAAATAGGAGCTAATGAATAGAATGAGAAGACTTAACAACAGTAATAGAAATAAAACATAAGTGTTACCTTCAACAACAGACACTAGCTGATATCCCAGAATATATACAGTGTCTTAGAAAGGAGGATGGCAAAAAGATTTTCAAGCGAAAACTTAAAAAGCAATAGTTTCACACAAACAGACCCTTACTCTAAAGAAAGGTTTAAAGGTAAACACCAGGCAGACAAACTCTCAGACTAAAGAAAGATCTATGCTGTAATGAAAATATGAAGCACAAAGGAAACACTTGAACAAAAACAAACACTCATGTATAAATTGCATAATGATACCATGGAAGCTAACGGGCACTATCACAGGGAAGTTATTTAAAGTCCTTGTGTTTGTGAGGAGGACAGCTAAGAATGGCTTAACTTAGAATTGAGTTCTGCATAGTAAACATGTAAGGTGGCCACTAAAAGAATATCAACAAAGCATATATAATTTAGAAACTACTATAGAAGAAGAGACTTAAATTTCCTCCAAAATTTCTAAAACATGATGAGAGAAAAACTATATATATATATATGTATATATGTATGTATGTATATATATGTGATATACATATATATGTGATATATATATCATATTTAAATAACAATAATCATAGAAGCCGGGCAGTGGTAGTGGCACATGCTTTAATCCCATCACTTGGTAGGCAGAGGCAGGCAGATCTCTGTGAGTTTGAGTACAGCCTGGTCTACAGAGTCAGTTCCAGGACAGTCAAGGCTACACAGTGAGACCTTGTCTCAAAAAAAAAAAAAAAAAAAAAGCAAAAACAAAAACAAAAAAACTAAACAATCATAGGAAAGATAAACAGAAGGTGGCCAAATGTATGACTAACAAAACACCCATGAAAGAGCTGCTTCATCATTTGAAGCAAAGATGGAACTGAGCACTATGGTGTTTGCCTGAAATTCTAACACTTGACAGGTGGAGGCAGGAGGATCATGAGTTCAAGGCTAGCCTGAGCTACAGAAGACCCCCTCCAAACCCCTGCACCCTCCCACACACATAAGAAAAGCCAAGGTAGACAGAAAAAATTTAAAAACCAGCCATACTAGATACATAAATACATACGTATTAAGGATATTAAAACATCGAAAGTAAAAGTAAATGAAAAGAGAAAAATTCTCAAATATTAACTAAAAGGATGCTGGTACAGTTCTATTAATTTGACAAACCAGACCTCACAGAAAAAATTATTCTTAAAGACAAAAGAAAAATCATTGGAAAGGGATAAAGTCCATTTAATTAGAGTAATATCAAAAATGATAAACTCTTAGAAATTTCAACAACTACCTTCCAAATATATAAAGCAAACACGGGTGGGTCGACAGAGAGAAGCTTATGGGCAATATAACAGGCATCTCACTATCTCACACTGGTGAGTTCACCGTCCATCAACAAAAATCACCCCACAAGACAAACCAAAAAAGCTATAGAACACACCAGACAATAGGACTGCTAAGTATGACTGGAGACCATATTAACACAATATAACCAGTACATGCTGGGGTTTTATATGCATGTGCGTGTTGTATATATGTATGAGTGCAGACATCCCACAGCACACATGTGGAGTCAGAGGAATACTTACAGGAGTTGGGTCTCTCCCTTTCCCATGTGAACCCTGAGGATCAAACTCAAGTCCTCAAGCTTGGTAGTAGGTGCCTTTGCTTACTGAACCCTCTCACAAGCCCCAATACACATGCTCACTAAGCAAGTATGGAACATTTAAGAAGTGACAACTGGGCCTGGTTGTGGTGACACAGGCCTCAAATCCCAGAGCTCAGGAGGTCAAGGGGCAGGCAGATCTATATATGCAGTTACAGGGCCACCAGTACTGATGGGATAGGGGAAATTCCAACTGAAAAGAAACACTTTTCAATTAGCTTATGATACCAAAATCAGGAAAGGTAGCTCAGGGAGGGGAAAGCTGCTTGTTAACCCCACTCTTCTACACAAATGCAGTAATTCCAAACACAACATAGGAAATCAGGTCCGCTAACACATCAAAAGGCAATAAGAAGAAATTGAGTATGACATGCTACAAACATGGATAAACTGTGAGAACATTTTAAGTGCAAGATGCTGGACAAAAAGGTTCCACATACTCATTGTATATACAGGGTCCAGAAAAGGAAAAAATGCCAAGAGAGAAATATGATAGGGGTTGCTAAAGGAGAAGGAATTGCTGGGGTATTTCTTTGTGAAAAAAAATGTTTCAGAATTAGACAGTGGTGATGGTCATACAACATAGTGAATATATTAAAGTCAGATTGTCCTTTAGTTAGTATTGAAATTGTTGTCAAAGAAACTATCCAAAAATTAAGTTAAATCTTCTATGAGAATACACAACACAAAGGAAAAACCAATCAAAGTTTTTTTTTTGTTTTTTGTTTTTTGAGATAGGGTCTCTCTGTATAGTCCTGGCTGTCCTGGAGCTCACTATGTAGATAGACCAGGCTGGCCTGGAATTCACAGAGATCTGTCTCCCTCTGCATTCCCAGTGCTGGGATTAAAGGTGTACACAACAAAGACCAGCAAATGTTCATCTCTTAAGCAACATTTTTTAACTCAGGACAAGCAACCAAATAAAGAATCGGGGTAGGAAACGAAGTACCCACTACCTTTCCCTCCCACTCTCCAGTATTCCAGAAGCTCCAAGCACATGCTCAAGTGTGCCAACCCCCAGGGTCTGTTCTAGTTTTAGATATTAGCATATTGTGTACAAAGAAGTACACAACTAACATATAAGACAACTGGGAATTTCTTGGACATGTATTATAAATCTCCCAAGTTTTCATAAAACTAGGGGTAAGGGCCAATAAGATGGCTCAGTGAGCACAGGCACTTGCTTGAAGGCCTGATGATATGTGTTTAAGCCCTAGGGAAGAAGAGAAGTGATACCAAAGAGTTCTCCTCTGACCTTCACAGAGTGACACATGTGAACCTGCACTCATTCATACAAAAGCACACATGCACATAACCATTTTTAAAATAATTCTTTTTTTAAATGGGATAAAATGTACATAACGTAAGATGTTACCAATTTTTAATTGGGCAAGTCAAAATCTAGTTGTTTCACTCATCATTTAAAAAGATAAAAGTCTAGATAAACTTTCAATCACTGTTGTAGAATAAAAAGTCATTTCAGAAAACCTCAAGTTTTACCTTGCAAGTTCCTTCGGTTTGAACTTCCACCATGTGTCTGGTTCCCGGAAAAGGACCTTATATTTATGCTTCTGAGACTACACACAGAAAAGACAAAAATGTAAATAGTTTTTTTCACAAAATTAAATGCAATGTTTGCAAATTGTATCACATTAAAAATGAAAGCCCCTCACGGGTAACCCGATCAGCAGATCAAAAATCTGCTGGGGTTAGAGAGAGGGAAGATGGCTCAGTGGTTGAAAGCACTGGCTATTCTTCCAAAGGACCCAGGTTCAATTCCCAGCACCCACATGGCAGCTCACAGCTGTCAGGGGATCTGGCATCCTTGCACAGACATACATGCAAGCAAAACCTCAGTGCACATAGATAGACAGACAGACAGACAGACAGACAGATCTTTAAAGCGCAATCTATCTGCTCTCAGACAAACGGCAAGGATTATTAGGAAGATTTGAGCTGCTGCTGCTGCTATTGTTTTGGGGGTGTTGTTTTGAGATAAAGTCTCAAGTAGCCTAGACTGGCCTTGAACTTGCTTTGTAGAAAAGCTGGAATCACTTGTAAGCACCAAAACATCTGGCTCCTACTGAGTGCTATCTCCTGTGAGAAACACTAGAAGTTAAGAAAGGGAATACATCCGTTTTGCAAGGCAGAAGATTCTAGTCAAAGAAAGAGCAGGAAGCAGGGACACTGGTGGCTGGAACCACCTCCTATCTGCTTCTACTTTATTCATAATTCTTTTTCCTTAGGAAACATCAGAGAACACAAAAATAAGGGCAACACGGAAAACTCAACCTAGGAATCTAATCTAAACTTTCATCCTCTTCCTAGGCTTCCTGGCTCACTCTAAGCTCTGGTAGTTGAAAGAAAATGTCCCCGGAGTGTTAGGCACTATTAGGAGGTGTGGCCTTGCTGGAGTAGGTGCGGTCTCACTGAAGGAAGTGCGTCACTGTGGAGGTGGGATTTGAGGTCTCATATCCACTTAAGACACCACTCAGTGTTTTGGTTCACTTCCTGTTGCCTGTAAGATGTAGGGCTCTCAGCTGCTTTTCCACCACGTCTGCCTGCACACCACCATGTTCCCTGTCACGATAAGGGACTAGACCTCTGAATTATAAACCACCATCTCAATTAAATGTTTTCCTTTATAAGAGTTACCATAGTCTTTTCAGAGCAACAGAGATCTAATTAAGATACTACCCTAGAAGATTAAAGTGGGTCAGAATTAAGAAATTGGGATAAATTGGAATAGGGAGGAAATAGAATTTACACAGTCTCCTTGACCCAGCAATTTATTTCCAAAACTTTATGTTACTGACAGTGGTATAAAGAGAACAAATGTGAATAGACATAAATATAAGTACATATCTAGATACTTAGTTCACTATTATTTATAATAGCAAAAGACCAAAAATAAAAAATGGTCAGACTATTAATATGAATTTATCTAAATAAGTGAGGATATAAACATAAAAAACTTTTGTTTTGTTTTTGTTTTTTTCAAGACAGGGTTTCTCTGTGTAGCCCTGGCAGTCCTGTGTGATTCACTCTGTAGACCCGGCTGGCCTCAAACTCTGAGCTCCCCCTGTCTCTGGCTCCTAAGTGCCAATTTAAAGACTTATCTATTCATGTATTTCATGTATGAGTGCTCTGTCCTCATGCACACTTCAGAGGGAAGCAGATCCCATTCCAGATGGTTGTGAGTTACCAGCTAGAAGAGCAGTCAAGTGCTCTTAACCGCTGAGCCATCTCTCTCCAACCCCCAAAAACATTGCTTTTAAATTTCTATATTAAATGAGAAAATCCCTTAAAATAAACTGATGAGAAAGTAAGACTAACAATTTTCACTTGGGAGAAAAAAAGAATTATTCACACATTTATACATGCACAGAAAACATCTGGAAAGATTGTTTAAAAAATACTTTTAAAAGTACTTCTCTCTCTCTCAGACGGACGTTGGTGGAGCACACCTTTAATACTAGCACTCCAGAGGCACAGGCAGGCAGATCTCTGTGAGTTCGAGGCCAGCCTGGTCTACAGAGCGAGTTCCAGAACAGCCTCCAAAGCTACAGAGAAACCCTGTCTCAAAAAAACAAAAAAAGTATTTCTCTCTAGGAAAGGGGACTTTAGGCACTATTTTAAAGTTTGGGTATTTATCAAATACGCACAAACCTGTGGCTCCTCCCAGTACTTCTCACCCTGTCCCTACTCTGAGTCTCTCCCACCCAGAGGCTGGGTTTAGCTTCTAATTCCTTTCTAACTCAGCATTTTGGCTGGGTGACCTCTTGGTTCCCATGCACTCTCTTGGTCCTCTTGGCCCCCTCTTCTCTTCCTCTCTCTCCTCTCATAGCCCTGGTCTCTTCTGATGACCATGTTCAATCTGTGCTCCTCCAGATGCCTCTGACTGTTCTCTTCCTCACATCTACCCTGAAACCTTCTCCTCAACCATACCATGGAGCAATAATAACCTTATTTTTATTCAATGTCATTATAATTTAAAGCCTGTTGCCAACAACCACTTGTTTATGTTTTCAGAGCTCTAGTGTGCCTGTAGTACACCCATCAATCACTACACTTTGACACTGTACCTAGGAAGAACTGACGTAGACAAGACCCTCTCTCAGACACTGTTCATCTTTCTCTTCCTTTGAGTCAATTTCATAATATATAAATACCGTCCATTTATTTCTCTCATCATGCACCGCTTTCCATGCACCGCTACTTAACTACATTTGTTTAAAAAAAAATCTATGGCCAGGAGACGGTGGCATAAGTCTTTAATCCCAGCACTCGAGAGGCAGAGAGGTAGGTGGATCTGTGAGGTCACGGCCACCCTGGTCTACTGAGTCAATTCCAAGACAGCCAGGGCTACACAGCTTAATGGCTGTTTCTAGGAGCCACAACCTTGATTTGTTTTTGAGAATACCTTGACCCATCCAGGCGCTCCCTGTCCCCTTCTAATCACATGGGGGGGTGACCTCATGACGTCTTATAAAGTTATAAAAGTTTTTCCTTATTGCCTCATTGCCTCCCTTCCTGATTTTGCTACTTAAAAGGAACCCAAGAAATAGATTCAGGGCTGCTCTCTTTAACCAGTTCTTGGGTGTACCCTAATAAAAAACAACCTTGCTTCAGATTTGGCTCAAAATGTGGTAGTGGTCTTATTCCTACCATTGGGATTTTTTTCCCACAAAGGTGAAGAATAATAACTTAAAAACAGTTCAAGTGCACTAAACATGATGACTAACGTTATGTTTTAAGTACTGTACTTAAGAGATCTATAAAACAAAAGTGCCTCTAACCAGTAAGTCCTCTTGCCCAAGGACAGATAACTTCCTAAAATGCTGGGGGCTAATGTTCATGTAAGACAACAGGCCACTTGTTTTCACTTCTGTAAGCAAGGTTGATTGTTCCAACTGCACAGGATGTACAATTGTTCCGACTGCATGAAGGCAGGAAGTAGTAGTTTTGGGAGTTTTGCCTTTATAAACCCCTGACTAAGGTCAATTGGAGCCATAGTCTAAGCATGAGTCTTGGGTACAGACTTGGCTGGTATCTATGGTCCTGACCAGTATTTAACAAAGCTGGTGAATCTGAGTGACTGCACACCCATGACACTAGTAAAACAAATGAGACAACAGCCCGGATGTGTTAAGGATGTAAAAAGGAACTCCAGTATGCATTCAACTAAGGAAGCATAAATTCTGCTTCCATGTGCAAGAGGACATCACACACACCCACTTGTGAGACTAGCATCCCCTCAATGACTCCAAACCCAGTATTACAAACTTAGGGTACAAACCAAAGCAACATATGGCTTCATTTCCCACGCCTGGAGGTTTGTGTTATCTATAATTATTGGAGATACCTTCTTCTCAAATGCTTCTTTTGCTGAAAAACACAATACAAAATGACATCATTTTAATAATATTAAATACAGGGTAGGCATGGAGGTGACAGACTAGGAGTCAGATTTCCTGGTAGGCAGACAACAGAGAGAGAGGCCATGACTAGGTAATAAAGTTTCCAAGATGGCCAGCTTCTTCCTCACCCTCCTGAGTTTAGACACAAGCCTGGTAGCTTAAAACAAAGGCTGGCTACAGTCTTTTGTCTGACACCAGTAGGCCCCCACTGATGAACTGGCTCAATAAATTCAAGGCCTGTTCAGAGACCTGGGTCACACAATAGTTCTGAACCAACCAACCATTCTGGCTTTCTTCAACCTGACCAACCATAAACTAGGAGAGGAAAACTCTTCAGAGGCATTGAAAATCCCAGCCCTAGAGAAGAGACTGGATTTTTCTCCTTCCAGGGTCCCGTCTCTGCTTTGTATAGGGTATTTTTCTATGTATGCCTATTGTAATTTAAGAAAAGCAGCCTGTAAGAAAAAGATGCCACGCAACAGGTTCAAGCAGAAGGCTTTTTATTAGGGAAAAGGATTATAAGAGGGGGAAGGGTGGGGGGAGACTTGGACTCAGGGACAAGAACTCAGGAGAGAGGAAAGAGGAAGAGAAAGGCCAGTACAGACGCCTGAATACTAACGACGTCTGCTGCTACATATGTGTGTGTTTCCTCATCCCCAATAGATGCCTTTCTTCAACTGCTGGGTACTTGTGGTGTCCCTGCTGCTGCCTGTGGCACTGCAGATTTTCCTGCCTTTTAATTCTTTAACAGATAGACAAAACAAATCCAATCAAGACCTCTAGACTGTTATCAGTGGCAAGTTCCAGGACATTGAAAGCTACGTATTAGAGAGACCCTGTCTCAAAAGACCAAATAATTTGGGGGATAGGTTGTTGTTGTTTTTGTTTTTTGAGACAAGGTTTCTCTGTGTAGCTTTGGAGTCCATCCTGGAACTCACTCTGTATATCAGGCTGGCCTTGAACTCTATGTAGCTGACTATCCTGGAGCTCTCTATGTAGACAACCTGCTTCTGCCTCCCAGTGCTGGGTTCTGGGATTAATAGCATGTGCCACCTTGCCCAGCTTAGCTATTGTCTTTGGTAGTTCCCCACCTTACTTTAGAGGCAGGGTCTCTCAATAAACCTGGAACTCACCAACCTGGCTAGACTGCCTGGCCAGCAAGTCCCAGGGACCCTCCTTGTCTCTACCTCCCCAGCACTAAGATTACAAGCACACACCTCCTCTGACTTTTATGTGGAGGCTGGAAATTGAACACATGTCCTTGTGCTCCAAAATTTAACTGTTAATTCCTATTTACCTCTTATTGCGCAACCTAAGAATTACAGACTCTTTCTTTTTTGTCTTTTGTCTTTTTGTTTTTGTTTTTCTAGACAAAGTTTCTCTGTGTAGCCCTGGCTGTCCTGGAACTCACTCTGTAGACCTGACCAGGCTGGTCTAGAAATCTCAGAGGTCTTCCTCCTGCCTTTGTCTCTGGAGTGCTGGGACTAAAGGCATGTACCACCACACCTGGCTAACTACAAATTCTTCAGCGCTCTGACTGGCCATAGCTCAGTGACAGCACACTTGTATGGCACGTGTAAGTACCACAAAACCTAAGTAAACAAAGTTCTTTAAAGTGCTACATCTCTCAAAAAAACCAATCCTAAAGAAATGTTCTCTGTATACTACTTTTAACACTATGCAGACCCTCACCATCTGCTCTTACCTCGATTCTGGTTCCACTCATGGGCTTCTCCTAAGTACTTTACATCAAACTGGTACTGTCCATTTATATAAAAATAATCATCAGTACTAAGAATGACTCCACTTGGGTTATCCTCTTGCAAAGTCCTATGAATGACAAAGGGATTACACTCATTAATTTTCTTTCCAAAATTCTCTCTTCTTCAATAGTCATAATTCAAATAAAAATCTAAGTAATAATATTTAAAGGAGCAATAAAATTAAAATAAACTACACTGGAAATTATCTAAGCAAAAAAGCTCAACACTTCAAAAACAAACTAAGCTAAGACAGGTCTATTTTGTTTTATACAAATTATTCAGAAATACAATTTGGTTTTGTATTATGAAACAGAATCTTGTGCAGTTCAGGCTGGCCTCAAACTTACTATCTAAGCAAGGGTGACCTTTAACCCTTAGGCTAGCAGCCTTTACAACTCAAGTGTTGAGACTGCAGGCATGCCCAGCACACCTGATACTCTTTTCCTTTCAAAGGTGCACACATCTGAGCTATCTAAATGAAATTGTAATCACAGGCTGGGGGAGATGATGGTTAATGAGCAAGCATAAACTACTTGTCATGTAAGCACGAAGTATGTTCAGATGCCCAGGACCTATAGTAAATGCTGCATGGGTGTGGCAGCCTCCCCATAATTCTAGTGCTTGGAAAATGGAGACAGAAGATACCTGGAGCAAGGCAGCTAGCCAGACTTGCTATAGCAAGCTCTGGGTTCTAATGAGAGACCCTGACTCAATGAAAAAGGTAGAATGGAATGAGGAAGACATCCAAAAATCAACCTGGGCCTCCACACATACACACATATGTACCTGCAAATACACGTGAGTCCAAACTTATGCAAACACATACATACACAAGAGGAAAAAAGGTGAAACTACACTATGGGATCCCTTTCAACTTTTCTGTCTTTCAGGATCAAGTTTCAGCCTCTGTCTTCTACCCTTACAGTATAAGAAAATTACATTTAAAAAAATCCATGACCTTTCCAATAAATCCAAAAACCTTGCTGTTCCGTTTGATTTTCCTCATGTCATATGCTAATGCTAACTTAATGTTATGGCCCACACTCCCACTTGTTTCTATGAACAATATAGGTCCTATTTTGTGACAAAAACTGCCCCCACTCTGAAACCTAGCTCTACAATCTATCACCTTTTAAAGTATTACTTTCATTCCATGAATTTCACAAACAACTGCTGAAACTGATTTTCTATGAATACTTTTATTATAAAATATAAGTAACATTAAATTACTTTATATTGCTATTACTTAGGCTAGAGATGTAGCTCAATTAATCGAATGCTTTCCTACCAGGCCCAGGGTTAGGGTTTGATCCCTGTTATCACATATCAGCTATGATGGCACACACCCGTAATCCCAACCCTTGAGGGTTGAGAGGCAGGAGTACAGAAACCCATGAGCTTGGCTACAGTACCTGTGAGTTTGAGAACAGAGTGGGATACAAGACCCTCTATCTCAAAACACAAACATACACAGCTGTTACTAAATCAATGAGAAAAGCCTATGGTACAAAAATAAATTCAACAGAAGGAAAAAAAGCAAATATAACTTAAAATTTAAGCCAAGGGCTTTGGAGAGGAACTAAGGAATCTTAGGAATACCTTTGAAGTCATAATCATAGGGCTATTCTAACCTTAATTCTGGTCTCCCACATGAAAGCACTAACAACCTACCTAAACTACAAAACTGGCATGAAAACATAAACAAGAGAATTGTATTTTCCAAAAAAATAAATCTCTGGACCAGGAATGGTAGCACAAACCTTTAATGTCAACACTCCGGAGACAGGCCAGGATGGTCTATATAGTAAGATTCTGGCTAGCCAAGGCTACACAGAGTGATAACCTATCTCAAAAGCGAAAAATAAAAGCTTAAAATTGTTGAGTTGTGTGATAACTGCTATTCATCTCTCTTTCTTTTTTTAAAGAAGTAGCTGTTTAATATATTTTCAAAGATACTATGTATACAGTGCTTTGTCTGCATATATGCCTGCACACCAGAAGAGGGCACCAGATCTCATTACAGATGGTTGTGAGCCACCATGTGGTTGCTGGGAATTGAACTCAGGACCTCTGGAAGAGCAGTCATCATTCTTAACCTCTGAGCCATCTCTCCAGCCCCTCATCTCTCTTTCTTATAACTTCCTTATAATCATGTTTCTTTTTTTGTGTGTGGGTGTTTTATTTTTATTGTTCTGTTTGTTTGGGTTTTGTTTTCTTCTTTTCTTTTCCTTTTTTTTTTTTTTTTTCTCTCTGTGTAGCCCTAGCTGTCCTGGAGCTTGCTCTATACTCCAGGCTGGCCTTGAACCCAGGTATCTTCCTGTCTCTACCTCTCTACCTCCAGAGTGCTGGGACTGAAGTTGTATGCTAGGATTAAATGTGTGTGCCACCATATCTGGCAATTATTTTTAATCTTTAAGACTAGCTTTTATACCCCTAAGCTAAATTCATCTTTCTCCCAATCAAATTATTTGCTCTGGTCCACAGAAAGGTATTTCACAGTCTCACTATCTTGAAGCTTCTTTGAAGTTTCTCTTTTGTCTATCAAAGATGTTCTGAGAAAAAGATTTCAATAAAAACTTTTTTTAAAAGTATTATTTTTTGTTTGGGTTTTCAAGACAGGGTTTTGTGTTGTGTGTAACAGCCCTAGCTGTCCTGGAATTCAAATTGTAGACCAGGCTGGCCTCAAACTCCTTCCTCTGCCTCCCAAGTGCTGGGATTACAGGCATGTGCCACCACTACCTAGCTAATGATTATTATCTTTAAGAAAAAAAAAAGAGCAAGGAAAAATATTTGAGCTATTAACCACCTGTTAAGCAAAGTGTTCTGTATATCCATTTGCTGTACAAATTCATGCATTATACTTTCTTTAAAAAAATGCCAATAAAATTTCATACCTTGCCAGAAAGGACTTCCCCGAGCCTGGCAGCCCTCTGAGAAGCACGAGAACTAAGCCAACGTAAGACGTGGTTTTCTTCCTCACAGGCTGGGCCACTGGGGCCTCCTGCACTTGATAAGCACTGGTTCCCTCGCTGCTTCTCCATACTTTCGTTGGGGAAGTATGGGAGATCATGGAGGGTGGAAATGTGTAGTTGACAGGTCTCCAGTGTGCAGCTGTGGTTACAACAGGGGCTACAAAGCCATGGTTTCCTTGAAAGAGGTCAAAAGCAGGAATCATGGGGTTCCAAATTGGTGGAGGTGGAGGAGGAGGAGGAAGGAGTAAGGGAAGAGGGGCAAGAACTGGGCAGTAATTCATATCCTTCCCCTTCGGTGGCAGCTCAGGGTGTTTGTGTGGCTTGAAATTGAACCCTTCAGAGGGCGCAAAAACATCAGGCACAGCAGCAGATTTCTGATCTCCACTGGTACCTGGTAAATCACGTCCTGGATTTTGGAGAGGAAGATTTGAAGGAACCTGAGATTCACTGCTACCCAAATCTACAAGGGCTTGAGACTGTTGTGCACTAGGACACTTGGGTTCTAAAAGATCTTTCTGTCTTTGGCTAAAATTGCCACAACCCAGAACAGAGTTGTTTGTTGGGTTTAAAGAGCTACTGGGATGAGAATCTTCTGGGAAGCTACCTTCTAACGGCAGTGTGCCCCCCTTTGTAAAACTTTCAGGCTCACTCAGCACTGAATGTGGTGGGTTTGAACCTGGTGAAGCAGCAGAATTCTGGAGAATTTCACTGTTTGAGCCGGTATTCTGTACAGAAACAACAGGAGTCATACCACCTGCATCTGAATTCATAAAGGTAGAATGGTCATTAAAACTCTTAGCATCCTGCAAAGGCAAAAATGAATATACTTGGTCATCAGGAGAAGAGTTCAATTTCTCAAAAGCATTCTGTATTAAAGAATCCAAGTCTTCAGTTAGCTGCATATCCAAAAATGAATCCAGTTTTGAATCCTCGCCGTTGTCTTCAGGAGGACGCATCTCCACTACTGCACTTCCTGATACACCTGCCTTGTCCTCACAAGCAACAGAAGTTTGTGAAGGTGACTCTTCCATCTTGGCATCAGTGGCAGATAATTCTAATAGACAGTCCATGGCATTTTCAACTGCATGAGAACAATAACAATAACAACAAAAATACATATATACACTGAAAATATATCAACATCCAGGTCATCTTTTAAAAATTAACACTAATAAATCAAAATCTGTATTAGAGATGTATCAGTGACTAAGCCATGCAATGGTGTTCTTTCAAATTGTAATAAACTATCATTCATAAAGGTCCTAGAGCCAGCTTTTTACCTACTGTATGTCCTATGAGGATAAAGTATTTTAAGTATCTTCATTAACCTATTCATTTATATGGTCCACACTATGTTTCTCACATAAAAAATAAATGAAGACATTTTTAATATAAAGGATTTTATCAAGTGTAAGTGGACTATAAAGACATGTACATAAAATATAATTACATAGAATAAATTAAACAATGTGTACTTTTAATAATGATAGAAAAGAGAATAAGAAAAAGATTTCACATAAAGTAATATATGATCTGGCACTTAAAAGATTAAAAAAAACAAGTTGCCAAACAAGGCGAAAGTTAAGGCCAATCCAGAAAATACAAAATTGTCTTTAGTCCCAGCACTCGGGAGGCAGAGCCAGGTGGATCTCTGAGTTCAAAGCCAGCCTGGTCTACAGAGTGAGATCCAGAACAGCCAGGATTACATACATACTGAGATCCTGTCTCAAAATATAAAACCTGTTTCAAGTATTCAAAGAAATTGGTTAGAGAATTATTAGCACATAGGGTTCTGTGCAATGGATAAAGGAGGAAGAAAAAACTGGAGGAGACTGGGTAAAACTGAGAAGTCCTATATGTCACACTCTGTTTTCTAAGGAAATGTAAGGAAGGAAAACTACCAGCCACAGCATTTGTGCTAGGAGCATTACACAGATCACCTCACTGAATCTTAATATTGCAAGATCTATTGTCCTATGCCTGACACACGCCTTTAATTCAAAGCACTCGGGAGGCAGAGACAGGTGGATCTCTGTGAGTTCGAGACCAGCCTGGTCTACAAGAGCTAGTTCCAGGACAGGCTCCAAGACTACACAGAGAAACCCTGCCTCGAAAAACCAAAAAATAAATAAATAAATATTAGGAACGAGAGCCAAGTCATACAGTAACAGAGCCAGGGCTGGTATGTCTGATTGCAATGCTGAGCTCTTGTTGCAACAGTGTCAGAAAGTCACCAGGTTTTAAATATGTAAGAGCTAGGGACACTGCTCAGTGGCAAAATGCCTGGTTAGAATGCTTGAGGCCCTGGGTTTGGTAATAGGCACCTCAAGAAAAGAAAGTAATTTAAGCACTTGAAATTTGGAGGTCTTTTTTTAAGTTTCCGTTTTTGTATTGTTTTGTCTTAAGAAAGACAAACATGAGAAAGCACTGCACACAGGACACAGCTCTGTTCTGGAGTCAGAACACCACCATGTAAACCTCTGTGTGTTTTGACAGGATACCTCGAGCAAGCTAGCTAACTTCCCTAAGCCAACTTTCTTGTTTGCAATAGGGGGTAATAAAAGTACCTACCTCATAGGTTGATGTGGGGATTAAATGAGATAATCCATGAAAAGTGCCGTGCACAAGGATGGGCACCTAGTAAGCACCCAATTAATGTTCCCTTAAGAGAAAACAAAGAGGGGTTGGAGGGGCAAGCCTGGCAGAGAGGTCAGTTAGGAGAACAGAGCAAAACTACAAAGGCAAGAAGCCCTAAACACCAAAACAAAGTAGAGGGAGAAAAGCAAACAGAAGAAAAACAAAAAAACCCACAAGGTAGATGAACCGAAAATCATCAACTAGAGAACTAGCACATTTACAATGAAACACAGTATAAGGTAAAATACCACAATACAGAGGCAATTATCATTAAACAGAAGTCTTAAAACAGATTGCTGGAACAATCCGATACAAAAAGACCTTAAAAACTAAAAGAATAATTTATAGAATATGAGAAGCAAATACAATAATGTTCAACAACATTATTTATTTTAAATAGTTAAGAAAAAGCACGATTTTATTCCTACTAAAACCTTAAAATAATTATGCACAATGCTGAGGAGGCTGTGGTGGTGTTACACACTGGCATACCTCACTGGTAGACAATTTAGCAGAATATACCCAAGACCAGAAAACTATTTTTTATTATTATTTATTATTATTATTATTATTTTATGTGCATTGGTGTATTGCCATGGGTGTCAGGTCCCCTGGAACTGGAGTTACAGATAGTTGTGAGCTACCATGTGGGTGCTGGGGATTGAACCCCGGTCCTCTGGAAGAGCAGCAGTGCTCTTAACTGCTGAGCCGTCTCTCCAGCCCCAGAACACTATTCTTAACCTGTGCTACAAGAAGCAAAGCTCTGGGGTTAAAAGAAACAAAAGACAACTTCACTGAAACGTTCTTTGTAATAATGATGATTCACGCTGGGCAGTGGTGGCGCACGCCTTTAATCCCAGCACTGGGGAGGCAGAGGCAGCAGATCTCTGTGAGTTCGAGGCCAGCCTGGTCTACAAGAGCAAGTTTCAGGACAGCCTCCAAAAGCCAGAGAAACCCTATCTCAAAAAGCCAAAAAAAAAAAAAAAAAAGATGATGATTCATGAGAAACTTAGAGAGAAATAACTAAATTAGAGTATAACTCACTGGAGCACTGGGAAACCACCTAAGAGAAACACAGAAAACTTGCTATAAAGCAGAGAAATCTGTAAGAGCACTGCAAACTTTTTCATTATGTGAAGTTTTAAAAGGCAGAGTATAAAATGTCATCAATGCTATTATTTAAGGTACTCATAACAGCAAGTGCTTATAAAGAAGATCTAGAGGAGATCCTGAAAAAGAGCAATGAGTTTGTTAGGACATAGGATAATATAGTTGTAATTCTCCACTGCTTTATACATGTTATATTCAAAAAATAAAATGTAAAGACAACAAAGTTAGGAAATAAGTGCACTAGTCATTTACAGCATGCTACCTGCTGTTGCTTCTAAGCACCGAATGAAACCTGAGTTTTGGTATATTATCATAACAGGAGAGAAATGCTCATATCACAGCTCACACAATGACCTAGAATATAAGTTTACCAGGCATTAGCAAAACCTTCAAATCTACATGATTTTATCTTATAATATAACCACAGCAAAAAACAATATTAACTTTTATCCACAAAGCCAACTTAAGAGTTCTTTTTGCCTGCAACATACTTCTAAACAATTTATTACAGGTTATTTATTGCATACTATACTGAAGTCTTTACTAAAACCAAACAACAAAATAAGCCTTCAATCCTCACCAAAAAAGTTCTATCCTATAAGATCATACTATTATATTTTATTAACAAATTAGGAAAGCGAACTCAAAGATGTCAACAGCACCAACCTGTCTAGAGGAAACAAGAGAGAATAAAATGTAAACTGTATCTGTATTCATGCATCTTACAGCTACAACTATACATTTCTTTATAGTAGAAAGCATTTATTTGTCACGTCTCTAGTAGTACCAAACTTTGTACCTTTGTCCATGGGAGATAACTTAACATATGATAAACAAAATAAGAACACCATTTTTCTGCATTGCTATTCAGTCTTCTTATAAGATGCAAAGGATTCAAACTAAACTTTTCTCACCTTTAAAATCACATTCAGAAAGCATCAAATACACTACATCAGGATCCAGAGCAGAAAACATCTCTGAGATACTGGTGAAGAGTTCCTCCTGATCAATTTTTGTCTCGCACACGGAAGGAAGAGTAGTGGCTGGCTCCTCATGGCCAGCAACACGGGACGCGACAATTTCCCGAGAGTTTGCAGTCTTCCGCAAAGGAGTTCCCCCAAGACTTTTCCTTTTCCTTGGCATTCTGACTCCCAAAACTAAAATAGTTCCCTTTTTTAAAAAATTTAAAGATTTTTGACATTTAAATCATAACTCAAAGAAAAAAATTGTATTAAAAATCTTGCAAATCCAGTAGTAATAGGACCTAAAATAGAAAGCAAGTAAAAATACTCAGACTACATAATTATATTTCCACCTCTAAGACGGAATGACATCTCTGTGTAACTCTAAGAAAGTCCCACCACCTCTGGCAGCAGAGCCAAAAGCAAGTCAACTGATCTCCAAAACACTCCAGTTTTGTCAGTATTAAACATGTTAAAAAACTAAAACAACAATACAGCATAACATATTTCTAAATAATAAATGTACTGTTTTAATATCATTAGTTAATCTCTTAAGCATAAAAGGGCCTACAAACATTACCAGAATGCCTGTTGAACATATATATTCAGATATCTAATAGGCATCCTAAACTTAACATCTCTAATACTGAACGCCCCCATCACTGCCTTCAAACCTGCTTTCCTGGTATTTCCATCTCAGCTAAAGTAACTCTATCCTTCTAGATGCTCAGGTCAAAATCTTGGGATAACCCTTGCCTCTCATCCAAGTGGAAAGACAATCTGGCAATACAATTCCTGAAGTGTGTTCCTTATTCCCTCAACTGCTATTGCCCCAGACTTACACAGCAGCCTTTCCACTAGACTGCAATAACAGACTAACCAATCACCCCACTTCCGTTCGTTGCTTTTAGCCTACTTAACACAGGCAGTGACAGCTAGTCCATAGGTTGGATGCCACTTCCCTTCTGCTAAACTGTCCCTAATTTCCCCTCTCATTCAGACAGAGGGCCATTAAAATAGCCTGTCATCCAAACACTTGCCTTTGCTCTTGCCACCTGAAGCACATTAGGCCTCCTGGCTCTTCTGCTCTTCTCCAAACATTTCAGCCATGCTCCCACCTGGGACTATTTACCCTTTGCTCCCTCATTTCTACCAGGTATCTATAAGATGCATTTTCTTGCCACCTTATTATTACTCAAATGTGACCATATTGTCAATTCAGAACAAGGTCTTTTCATGTAGCCCAGGTGACCTTGAACTCCCTCTGTGTCCAAGAATGACTCTGAACTTCTGAGCCTCCTGCTTCCACCTCCAGTTTTATGTGGTGCCAGGATCAAAACCCAGGGCTTCATGTATGCTAGGCAAGCATTCTACTAAGTAAGCTGCATCCTCACTCTTCTCAAACACACTTTATTTCTTACTTGGATTTTCTTCCTAAGCGTTTCTTCTAGTATGTTACTCACTTACTGTGTTTATTTACCAATGAGTCTGCTATGCATATCCAGTAAAATGTAAGCGCCACAAGGAGGGACTTGTGGATCTGGAGTACATCCACAGTCTATTTGTTTTCCCTGCTTGGTTATGTCTTAATAAATACCTCCAACTTAACATCTCTAAAATTAATCATCTTGGCCGGGCGGTGGTGGCGCACGCCTTTAATCCCAGCACTCAGGAGACAGAGGCAGGCGGATCTCTCTGAGTTCAAGGCCGGGCTGGACCGACAGCCTCCCAAACAATACAGAGAAACCCTGTCTCGTAAAACCAAAATAAAATAAAATAAATCATCTTTAATTACAGAGGTTTTAGATGATAACCTCTGAAATTAAGTGCCTTGATATTACCCACCCTAACCACTTGGTCTGGCAACCTTCATCTTGCTCCTACATTCCTATCCCCTAACTTGTCTCCACCGCAACACATTCCTCTAGTGTCTATTTCCAACATATCAGCCATAGTAATCCTTATACAACCCAAGTCGGCTTGGATCAGGGTCTACTCTAAGTTCTCAAGTAATTTTCCAGGTCATTCAGAGTAAAAGCTCAAGTTCATGCAATGGCCTGCCCCCTTGCCAGTCACAATACATTCTTCCCACAAGTTATAAGCGTTGATGATTCTCACTCTAAAATTTTTGTTCTCTTTTCAAGTGTCATAGTCAAGAATTTCTTCCCTGAATATCCAATTAAAGTCAAATATATCCCACTCCCTCTCTCGAGCTCCCCCTAGCTAATCACTCATTCCCGTTAACATCTTTTAACATACTATAAAGTTTACCTTTTAATTAAATTTGTGTCATAGCTCCCTCCACCTTCCAGTAATATGACAGCCACCAGCCACATGTGCCTAAATTTAAATTAATTAAAATAAAAAATTACTCTTTATGTATTATATCAGATAGATCAAAAATTATCAGGGGGGAAAAAAGAGGTCATTGTGTAATAATAAGGACCAATCCACCAGAAAAAAATATAAAGCTAAATTCTATGCATCAAAAGCATAACTACAAGCAGGGCAGAAAAAACTGATAGAACTAAAAGGAAAAGTAAACAAATTTCACTTTAGTCAAGATCTCAATACTGCACTATCAGCAGTAGAACAACTAGACAATACCCAAGAACACAGAAACTACCAACAACAACAACAATTAGGGCCATCCTTTCAAATGCACACAGAAGTTTACCATGATAACCATAACCTACAAGACATAACAAAGATAAGCTCTCTAACCACAGAGACAAACTAGAAATCAGTAACAGAAAGACAACAGGAAAATCTTCAAACAACTGGAACCTGAGCAACATACTTGGGGTTGGAGAGATAGGTCAAACTGGGAATAGGTCAATCTGTAAAAGGCTTGGGGCACCAGCATAAGGACCTGACTTCAGGCCCCAGAACCCCATAACAAGCTAGGCATAGTACAGTTGCTTATAATCCCACAACAGGCAAGGAAAGAGACCTGGGGCTGACTGGCTGGTCAGGCAACCACGCCATGAAAATGAAACCCACAAAGACATTACATTTGTAAATTACAGGAATATCTCACTAATACAAACATATATATCAAAACAGTACAGAGAGGCTACACTTTTGTGTCACTATGACAAAGTATTTGCAATAAACTAAAAGAGGAATTATTTATTTTCAGTGATGGTTTCCTGTTTTAGCTTCTGGTCTCGAGGCTCCAATGCTATCAGACAGCAGCAACAGTGGCAGGGAGGCTGGGACCTCCCTACTCAGCACCTTCTTCCTCCAACCACAGACCCACTTCCTAGTTTCCACCCTCTTTAATTAATGCCAAATTATGAATTGACAGTGGACTGGTCCAAAGTCCTTATGATCCAATCTCCTCTCAAAGTCTATGTCCACCAGCTAAGGACCAAGCCTTTAACACAGAGCCCACTAGACACTTCATACGTAAACTTTAATCACTTAAGTTACTTTCAGGACATAAAAATGCAATGCATCAGTTTATTAAGACTATAACTTTTTTAAGGTTTGAAAAACCAATTAACACAGCTCCTTGTAATAAACAAAGCAAAGGAAAATGACACAATCAATTCTCTGTACATAGGACACTGAGCTGAAAAAATATCCACAGGTGCTCAAGCTAACTCAAACAAACTGGAAACAGAAAGGAACAGATGAAGACACTTTAAAATGCCCCCAAACTGCTGACAGCTTTCCTTCTACAAACAGAAAAGCAGATTCTTGCCACAATCACTTCCCTACTACAATGTACCAGAGGTCACAGGCAGCATGTAAGGCCAGAAGAAAAGAAAAGAAAAGTTCTAGGGAAAAAAGTCAGGTGTGACAGGCCAGACCTCTGTGAGTTCCAGGTCAGCATGGTCTACATAGTGAGTTCCAGGACAGCCAGCCTATGGCTTCAAAAGCCAGGAAAAATGAAAATGTTCTAAGATAAAGAAATACATATACAGAACTATCATTATAGAGCACTGAGTTCATCAGTTAATTTAGTAAGATTGATGGCATTATTTTAATAAATTTATTGTTGTTACTATTCCATGTACCTGAGGCGTGGCAGTAGGGGGGTGTGTGTCACAGTACACATGTGGAAGACTGTGGAGTGAGCTGTTAATTGCCCTCCACAGATCGAACTCAGGCCTTCTGGCTTGCATAATGCTCTACCCTGGCCCCATCTATATCCCTGTATATTAACAACCAGTAGAAAGAGAATTCAGCTAGGGATATGACTCAGTGGTTTAACACTTATCCAGTAAGCATGTGGCTGCTCTGGGATCTATCTGAAGAATCAAAGGGGGAAGGAGGAGAGAGGCAGTGAGCAAAGGGAGAGAAGTCAGGAAAACCTAAATCTCAACTTCATTTCCTCATCCTTACCTTTCCAGAGTTGCTGAATTCACCCTGAGATCTCAGCCTCTTAAGGACACTACCACTCTCTGGGTCTTCTCATCTCTCAGCTTCAAACAATGGAGTGTCTAGTGCTTACTTAGTCTTAAAACCTCTTTTTGAGCCGGGCGGTGGTGACGCACGCCTTTAATCCCAGCACTCGGGAGGCTGAGGCAGGTGGATCTCTGTGAGGCTTTTTGATTTATTTACAGAACTGTACAACTACCACAATCTAATCCCAGGACATTCCTAACATATCCTCATCCATGAGTGTTTAATCCCATTCCCCTCTTCTCACCGCTGTTTATATAGAGTGCCTATTCTGGAAATGGAGCCATGTAATATGGCTTTTTAAGTTCCAGCCTATGACAGCAGCACTTCATTCACTTTGTTGCTGAGCAACAGGCTATGGTATGAACACATCACACTTTATTTAACAACTTTCCTAAAGATAGAAATCTGAATATCTACTTTTGATTATAATATATAATCTTACTCTCAGCATTCTTTTTTAATATTTATTTTATTTTATGTGCATGGGTATTTTGCCTGCACGTATATAAGTGCACCACATGTGTATAGCACCCAAGGAGACCAGAAGAGAACACTGGATCCCCTGGAATTGGAATCAGACACTGTTGTGAGCCAATATGTGGGTGCTTAGAATTGAACCAAGTCCTCTGGAAGAGCAGCCAGTGCTCTTAACCATTGAGCCATCTCTCCAGCCCCATTCTAAAATTCCTGAATGAGCTTTATACAGATACATGTTTTCACATGTCTTAAAATGGAATCCTAAGTCATATGGTAACTGTTCAACCTTTTGAGGAACCACTAGACTATTTTCCCTTGAGGTACCTCACTGCAATTCCCAGGAGAAATGTACACTATGCCCCTCTCACCAGTACCTGTTATTGCTCTTCCTTTAATTATGGCAATTTTATTTAGATTTATCTACTCTGGCGAGTCAGTCCTGATTTGCAGTGCACTGACAATGTGGCCAATGTTATGTGTACATTACCACTTGTGTGTCTTCTTTGAAGAAATGTCTATTCGCATTACTTGCTCCTTTTAAAATTGAGTTGTTTTATTGCTAAGCAGAAACAAGGCTACTCACTCTACTACATAAGAGAATTTTAGGCAGTGTGGTGGTCTCACTAAGAAATATCTGAATGCTTAGTAACAAGGGAGTGGCCCTATCTGAGAAGAGTTAGAAGGATTAGGAGGTGTGGACCAGGCCCTGTAGTCTCTGTTTCTATCTCTGCTTGCAGATCAGGACCTAACTCTCAGCTACTTCTCCACCACCACCCCTGCCCAAAGCCATGCTCCCTGCCATGATAATGAACTAAGCTCTGAAACTGTAAAGCTCCCAATTAAATGGTTTCCTTTAAGAGTTGCCTTGGTCGTGGTGTTTGTTCACAACACTAGGACAGTGACTAAACAGGCAGTCACTAAAAACTATGCTTTGAGCTGAATGTAGGAGAGTGGCTATAGTCCAGATACTGTGGACACAACGCACAAGGACTGCTCAAGTACAGATGTTCAAGAACAGCGTGGGCAGCATAGCAAGCAATTATCTAAAGTAAATGTTTTTTTAACTTAAAGAATAAGCCAGGCAGTGGTGGCACACATCTTTAACCCTAGCACTTGGGGGGGGGGGGCAGAGGCAGGCTGATCTCTGAACTCACAGCCATCCTGGTCTACAGAGTTCCAGGACAATCAGGGCTAAATTGTGGTTATTTTGTTCTACTAGGAGTTGAACTAGGACCTCACACATGCTAAACAGACAGGTGCTCTACCGTTGAACTACATCCTCAGGCCTCTTCTCACTTGTCTTATTTGGAGACAGAGCCTCATTAAGTTTCCCAAGCTGGTCTTAAAGTCACTCAAGTAAAGGGAGACCTTAAACTATCAATTCTCCTGCTTTGGCCTCCCAAGATGCTAGAGTCCAGATTTTAGATAATATTTAAAGGAGGATTTTGTCTGTTTGTTTTGATTTTTTAAGATATGATGTGAAACCAAGGGGTGGTGGCCCATGCCTTTAGTCCCAGCACTCGGGAGGCAGAGGCAAGCAGATCTCTGTGAGTTCGAGGTCAGCCTGGTCTACAAAGCAAGTCTCAGGACAGCCAGGACTGTTTCACAGAGAAACCATGTCTCAAAAAAAGTAAAAAGAGCCGGGTGCTGGTGGCACATGCCTTTAATTCCAGCACTCGGGAGGCAGAGGCAGGTGGATCTCAGTGAGTTCGGAGGCTAGCCTGGCCTATAGAGCGAATGCCGGAACAGGCTACAAAGCTACACAGAGAAACTCTGTCTCAGAAAAAAAAGAGAAAATGAAAAGAAAACCAATTGTGTTTAACATGCACCTATATATCATAAAAACTACAGTAATTGGTAACTGAAGACATTCCGCATATCAGCAGAAAACAGAACGGTTAAATTGTGGCAACAATACCCTTTAAGTGTTGTGTAGCAACTGAAAAGAATGCATCATTCTAGAGAAATCTGAGAGCTCTAAGACAGCCGGCAGAAGGCCCACCTCTCTGCAATCCTCCAACACTTCCTGAAGTCCTTTCCTACTTCCTGCAGTCCCTTCCTACTTCCTGCAATAGTCACCTTGCTTGTTTTAGGGCTTTCCATTGTTAATTCACTAACTTGCATTTTCTGTAATATCTTTAGACGTCTTTTACATATACCTGATCCATCTCCTCTGTCATTGTCCCTCAGAACCCAGAGAGGCTGGAGGACTCCACAGTGCTGGCCAACAAAGCTCATTTTCATCTTCAACACTAGGAAGGCACTGTTCCACCCACACAGAGCACTGTGCTGCCTACACCACAGAGCCTGGACAGAACTTGCAGAAAGTGACTGACCAGGGTATCTTCATCTGGAGACACTCTTCTCCCTGAGGAGCATGTTTTCTGAGAACATGGATCATGCTCTTAACATGGTTCCATACATAAAACAAACACATGAAAGGTATGTGTACATGGCTAATGAGATGTAAAACATGAAAGATCAAGAAGTGGAATTTTAGGGAAAGAGACTAAAACAGCCATTAAATGGAAAACTGGGGCCACAATACTGTCAGGCTGTCAGTCAACACTATTTCATAGCACTAACAACACCAGCTCTTCCACATGTTCCAATAACAACATTTCTGATACCTTCTTTCTCGTGATTTTTCTTTTAATCACTCAAATATGTAAATGAATGCTTGGAAACTTACATGTAAAATATTCATCCCCTATGATTTTAGTAGTCCTTACTGTCTTGTCTGCCTGGCACCAGCAATACAGGTGTGCTTAGGAAGGTCACAGTTGACATCTGCAACTCTAAAGCTGTCTTCTTACTAGAAAATAATGAAATGCAATGTCAAGTATTCTTAAATATACTTATAAGGCACACCCATATCAAATTACAATTTGGGGGATATAGGGGCCTTACTATGTAGCCCCAAAACTTACTCTAGGCTGGCCTGGAACTCAGAGATCCATCATCTCTCAGTCTCCCAAGTGGTGGGATTAAAGGCGTGTGCACTGTCATAGTCAGCATTCAAATTTCATCTTAAATGAATAAAAAGCCAAAATAAGAGCATGCCTTTTTTGGTTTTGTTGTTGTTGTTTGTTTTTGTTTCTCCAGACCATTGTTAGAAAGGTTAATAGAAATTGACCTTGTATAGTCAGGTGTAGAAGTCTACACCTGTAATCCCAGCACACAGGAGGCTAACGCAGAGTGTCAATGTCTGAGACCAGCCTGAACTTCATGACAAGTTTGAGACCAGACTGGGCTACATGGTGAGACTCTGTCTCAAATCTTCAACCATGAAAAGGGAGGAGGCATTAAAATGACAGAACAATACATTCTATTTTATGTTGGTTTTGTGTGTGTTTGTTTTGAGGGATTTTTCGTTTGTTTTTCGAGACATTTCATTTTAGGTACTATTTACCTTAACATTGTTTCAAGTGGCTTAGTGGTAGTATTTACCTAGCATGCACAAGGCCTAAGTCTTATTTCTGAATAGAAAATATCCCCCATGGCTTTGTATGCTGAAGGGTTGGTGCCCAGCTGGTGCTGTTTGGGGAGGTGGTAGAAACTTTAGGAGACAGTGCCTGGCCAAAGGAAGCAGGTCATGGGACGTATGTCATGTGAAGGGTATCTTGTCTCTAGCCCCCTCTCAGTCTCTTTCTGCCTCCTGGTTGACATGAAGTGAGCAACAATGTTCTGTCCCATACTTGAGCCACCATGATGCCACGCCTCATTGTAGGCCACAACTACTAGGCCAGCTGAAACATTGGAAATCATGAGCCAGAGACAATAAATCCTTCCTCCCTACTCATTATCCTGGGGAAGCCAGATATGACACCGTACATCTGTAATCCTGGCACTCAGAGACAGAGGCAAGAATGCTCAAAATAGAGTCCCAGACAAGCAAGGGCTGCATAGCAAGACCCTGTCTCAAAAAAAAAAAAAAAAAGTATTAAAGAACAGCTCCTCGACGGGTGGTGGTGACAAATGCCTTTAATCCCAGCACTCGGGAGGCAGAGGCAGGGGGATCTCTGTGAGTTCGAGACCAACCTGCTCTACAAGACAGCCTCCAAAGCCAAAGAGAAACCCAAAAAAAGAACAGGCCTTCAACACTGAGTGGAGGGGAGCAGCAGCCTACTACTTTATCAAGAGTGCAGGCTCCACTCACCTCACTTCATCTCATCACATGAGGCACTGTGTGACTGACCTATCGAAGAAGTAGGGATGTGATCCTTCAGTCTTTCCGAGTGGTTTGCATGTATGTATGCATGCATGCATGTATGTATGTATGTCTATGCACCACATGAATGTGTGATGCCCACAGAGGCCCAAAGAGGACACTGGCTCTCCTGGAACTGGAGTCACAAGTGGTTGTGAGCCACCATGTGGTTGCCGGGAATTAAACCCAGGTCCTCTGGAAGAGCAGTCAGTGCTCTTAACCACTGAGCCATCTCTCCAGCCCAAAAGTATTATCTGAAAGACCACATTCATATAGCCTTTTGTTGTGTTTTTCGAAGCAGGGCTTCTCTGTGTAACCCTAGACATCCTGGAACTCTCTCTGTAGACCAGCTGGCCTCATATATCAGTATATTGTTAGAATGATTCTACCATTATCTATTTTATTGTTTCCTATTGTTGTTCATCTCCTGCTATGCCTAAGTCATAAGTTATACTTTATTGTATTTATATAATACAGGGAAAACATGCTAGGAAATATATTCTACCACAGACCCAGACCTCCAGCTCAAGTCCTCTTTTCTTTTATTGTTTTTGTTTATTTGGTTGGTTTTTTCAAAACAGGGTCTCTTTGTGTACAGCCCTGGATGTCCTGGAATTCACTTTGTAGACCAGGCTACCCTCTGCCTCCCAAGTACTGGGACTAAAGGCATTCACTGCCACAGCCCAGTCCAAGTCCTTTTTTCTTGAACAATATGTATTATTTCTACATAAGTATCTGTATTTATGCTTCAACTTAGGTTTTTGTTCGTTTGTTTTTATTTGTAGTGGTACTGAGGACGAACCTAGAACTTAGATATGGACTCTCGTTCCCTTTCCTTCTCCCACTCCAACAATGTTAATATAGTTCAGGCTGGCCTAAAACTTGCCATGTAGCAGAGAGCACCTTCCTGTCTCTCCCTCCCACGTGCATGCCATAAAGTCCCAATTCCAGTGAGATTCCTAATGTACGATATACCTAAAACCATCTCAGAGTTTATGTTTCACAATGCAGAGTTTACACCTCTGCCCTCAATAATAGTCTCAATCTCCTAAACTACTTCTACTCCCCAATGGCTCAAGCCATATATTTAGCAAAAATAATCCTTGATTTCTTTTTTGTTTTGTAAGGCAGGGTTTCTTCCTGTAGCCATGGCTGTCCTACAGCGAGCTCTAAAGACCAGGCTGGTCTCTGCCTCCAGATTAAAAGGGTGGACCACCACCCTGAGATTCCTTACTTTCATTGACTGTGATGTTTGGAAGCCATCATTTAGCCTTATCCTCTCTCGTGCAGGTGTACCCTTATTTCTTCCACCTCTTTTTTTTTTTTTTTTTTTTTTTTTTTTTTGGTTTTTCGAGACAGGGTTTCTCTGTGGCTTTGGAGGCCTGGAACTCACTTTGTAGACTAGGCTGGCCTCGAACTCACAGAGATCCGCCTGCCTCTGCCTCCCGAGTGCTGGGATTAAAGGCGTGCGCCACCAACACCCGGCTTATTTCTTCTACCTCTATCTCCACTGCTGCCCTCAAACCACATCTCCAATGTCTTGCTTTCTTTTGTTCTTCTTTTAAGATTTTTTTCTATTTATATATTTAGTTCATGTGTATGTATGATGTATGTATGTGGACATATGCATTCCATGCTGTGCACGTGAGGTCAGAAGACAACTTACAGCAATCTAGTCTCTTCTTTCATCATGTAAGGTCTAGGTATTAAACTCAATCATCAGCCTTGATAGCAAATTCCTTTACTCCCTAAACTATCTTGTTGGTCCCTTTCTTCTTCTTCATTTATTATTCATTCCCTAATTAGACTTTGAGATCATGAAAACAAAGTATATTTTATATACAACAAAACATCAGCAGAGTGATTTTTACATGGGAACTTTTAATAAATATGGAGTGAAGAAAAAAGATAAATATAATACATATATAGTTTGATACTATCTGCAATTTCAGGCTCCCATTTAGGGTCTTGGAATATATGCCCAGTGTATGATGGGGATTACTCCACTGGTTTTCTTAGCTAGCACTCTGACTCATTCATAGACCTCTCTTCTGCTCACTTGTTTCATGTCATTGCCCCTCCTGGGTTGTGTGACATCACCAGTTTTCTGTTCTACTCACTTTGTCTAGGTTCATCCAAGCTCATAGCTTCAACAGCTATGACTGATTCTATTAAGGAATTCTCTCCCAAATTCTATAGTTAACTGCCACATGAATATTCCATGGGTATTTTAACTTAAAAACTTTTAATGACTCTATGGCTTTCAAAAACAAGTTCCACTTCCTTAGTAATGCATTCAAGGACTCTTATGACCTGGTACCTCACCTTAACAGGGGCATCCTCTTTCCATAATTACATATGGTCTACTCCACTTGTATCTGCACTTGCTTCTATCAGGAGGTAAGCCAATACCATGGATCTCTGCCTCACACAAGCTCAACCCAGAGGTCCCTCTACATCACCCCACCAAAGCAATACTTCCTAGCTCAATTTACTTTCTTTCAGAAAAGTCATTCAATCTCCCAAAGTCTGATTTCAACTCAACTCCCACTGCATCCTAGGCACACTTTTATCTTGACACCTTTAGACTACTGTTTTTTACATCTCCATTCCCACTTCAGACTACTATTACCAAAGCAGGTGTGTGTACTATTTAGCAAACAACAACAAAAATCAATAAATATCCTACATTACTAGTGTAAACCAAACTACTGCTAGTTCTTTAAAACAGTAGACTGGGCCAGGCAGTAGTGACACACATCTTGAGTTCCCACATCGGGAGGCAGAGGCAGACAGATCTCTGCGAATTCAAGACCAACCTAGTCTACAGAGAGAGTTCCAAGACAGCCAGGCCTGTTACACAAAGAAACCTTGTCTCGACAAAAATAAAAATAGATGATAGGTAGATAGATAGGCAGGCAGGCAGGCAGGCAGGCAGGCAGGCAGACAGACAGACAGAGAGACAGACAGACAGACAGACAGACAGACAGACAGACAGACAGACAGACAGACAGACAAGTAGACTTACCATTTTAGCACCTGGAATACTCAGGTCCATAGTGTGCAACACCTCCTTCCCACAAATAAAGTACCTACAAAAAACAATTCATGATGAGACAAGTAACTAAGAAAGGAAATGGACATTCTCTACACCTGCCCAGAATTCTTTCCCCATCCCTTCCTCCACCGGGGTCAGCTTCCTACAAAGAGAACACAGGCTATGTAAGTGTCATCAAATAATACAGAGACCCTAAGTAAACAAGCCTGTGGGCGGAAAGGAACCAGGTCGCATCCATATGCATTCTACGTACAGGAAAGGCCAGTTCCCACCCTCATGGCCGCCTTCATCATCTATTATATTGTCACATGAGCCAATACCATCCACCCTCTCAGGCCACTTCCAGAACCTCAACTCCAAAATGTCCTACCTAGCAACAAGAAAACTGAATAGACAGAAATTAGGTGTCAAAGAATACTTTACATTCAGGCTTAGATAATTTTCATCTATTAGAACCAATGTCTCTGTTCTTTCTCTAGTAAGCTCCCAAATTACTATTTAATTGCTTTTTTATTATATTTCAATGCAACTCAGATCATATTTTTCAGACATTTTGTTATACCTTAAACCAGTACATGGCGAAATGACAAATAAGCAAGCAATTACAGTGTGATTAAGAGAACACCGAGTACTAAGGAAACATGGGACTTGTGTTTCCCAGTCTTGTGTCAAAGAGATCTTTCGTAGAGTGCCGCCCACACTGAGACATGGCAGACAAGTATGACTAACAAACAAAAGTGAAGGTAACCAGCGAAGTAAGGA